ATTTGTAAAATACTCAACCCGCAGGTCATTTTATTTAAAGAGTCTTTTAGAGATAAAGTTCTTACCTGACTTTTCTCACTCCTTCCCCGAATGCCTAGCTCACAAGCTACATTCTACATTCATAATATCCTACCGAGTTTTGGTAGCATTTAGCATCCCGGGGATGCTCAACCCCAACCGAGTTTCAGGATCATTTACCGTCCCGGGGATACTCAACCCCAACCGAGTTTCAGGATCATTTACAGTCCCGGGGATACTCAACCCCAACTGAGTTTCAGGATCATTTACAGTCCCGGGGATGCTCAACCCCAACCGAGTTTTAGGATCATTTACAGTCCCAGGGATGCTCAACCCCAACCGAGTTTCAGGATCATTTACAGTCCCGGGGATGCTCAACCTCAACCGAGTTTCAGGATCATTTACAGTCCCGAGGATGCTCAACCCCAAACTTATTCCTTACCAAACCCTAACCTGGATATGGCTAACTTTTCAATCCTTTAACTATGGACAATACCTAGCCTTATAGTCATATAGCCATCCTTAGGAACCAACGTGGGTGGGTCCCACCTGAACGGCCCACATTAACCTACTCAAAACTGCCCGTTTTGAGCATAACCCAATACTCGATCGAGTACCCACCTATACTCGGTCGAGTACAGGAGACAGTAGCCCGTAAGGCTAATTTTTGGTGTATAATCGATCGAGTACCTGCCCATTCTCGATCGGGTATAGAAGACAGTAGCCCCTGGGGCAAATTTTCAGCAAATACCCGGTCGGGTATTTGCTAATACCCGGTCGGGTATTTGCTAATACCCGGTCGGGTATTTGCTAATACCCGGTCGGGTATAGTAGTTGACTTGGCGGTCAACGCCCTTTTGACCACCCAAACGGAGTCCGATTAACATGAAATTTTACACACACGTACTTCTTGACGTCCTTAATCTATAATACCATTTTGGATCCCTGGAACATTTCACATAATAATTTATCACATTTTTTTATCATCAAACGTAAATAACATGCTTTTCAACTATGTTTTATATATAATCATGGCATAAGCAAATACTTGATTATCCTTAATCATTCCATAAAACATATTTTTGATTACTTTAGGTAATATCATGCCTCACGCAAAAGTTATAAAGCACAAAGCCGTCTTCTCACCTTAAATAATGCTTATGAAGTTCTAGCCTTCCTTATTGAGCTCCGGCGAAACTCCGGCGAACTTCGACGAACTCCATCGACAATTCCGGCGACCCTTTCAACTCCGTGAAAGTTACTTGAATACCTTAGACAAGTTACTAACAAGATTTTATTATCATAAAACCCATATTAATACAAATAACCTCCAAAAGGTTATTTTCCGTCGAACCGGTCACTTTGGCTTCTAAGTCTGTTCTTGGACCTAGAACTACCTTCCAACCCCTCATTCTACACTTCCAAACATGTAGAACAGTGCTAGGGTGTGAAATATGATTACATTTTCATATAAGATGATTGAAGAACAAGAAATGGGATTAATGGAGTCATTACCTTGTAAATATCAAGTTTTTCCACCTAAACCTCTCTTTTCTCTTCTCTTTTTCCTTCCTTCTTCCTCCCTTGTTCTTGGTGCGTGTATGGATGGTAACAATGTAGTTTTTCAGACCTTCTCTCTCTTCTTTGAGCAGGCTGGCCGAGCTATATGAGTTGTGGGGTGAGGGAGATAGCCCTTTTGGCTTATTCACCAATAATATGGGGGGAGGGTCCCCTCAACTTACAAATTTGTCTCCCAATCACTTCCCAACCATTTACCAGCTTCATGATGCGGCTCCCCTCTCCATTTTCAAGCCTAAAAACGTGGGTTGGCCCCCACTTATGTGGGAGGTCAACCCTTTGTGTACCCTTTGTGTACAATCGGTCCCGAAAGTTGTATTTTCCGTACTGCTTTAATTCTATTTATTCTATCGGGTCAAATAAAATATAACACTTGTTCCCAATCCTTATTGGACCTTAGAAGGAGTATGTATTCCTCAACTTTAATTTTAGAAGTCTCCGAAATCCCTTTTTGGGCTGTTATCTCATAAACTGCCAATACTGATAATTTGGCCCCGTTTGACCAACCGATCAACCATATGCCATTGTCGCGGCCCAATTAGGATATCCACCACCATATACATATTATCTAGGCCAAGATCAATATAATATGTGGTTCTGATAATATCGGGCGGGTCCCACTTCCGGTGTGGGCTCCACGTGAATTTTACTATTCACGTAAAAGAAATGATAAAAATTTACAATCACGTAAAATGTGTTTATTCATTTCTCAGGGTTCAATTCATAATTTGATAAAGTACAAATACTCGGGGGCGGTGTTACAAGTTTTACCCCCTTATTTGGGATTTTGTCCCCGAAATCCACGCGTCTAGTCAAACAGAAATGAATATTGTTCCCTCATCAGGGTCTCCACTTCTCAAGTTTGCTCCTCGACACGATCACTCTTCCAAAGTACTTTTACCATCGGCACTTCTTTGCTCCTTAGCTTCTTTACCTGTCGGTCTATGATCTTTACCGGCTGCACCGTATAGTTTAGGTCTTCTCGGATTTCCACCGGTGGTTTCTCAAGAATATGTGATGGGTCCCGCACATACTTCTTGAGCATAGAAACATGGAACACATTGTGAATCTTCTCTAACTCTGGGGTCAACTGAAGTCGGTAGGGTACAACCCCAATCCTTTCAAGGATTTTGAACGGACCTATATAACGTGGGTTAAGCTTACCCCGACTGAGGAACCTGATGATCCCTTTCCAAGGTGATACCCTCAGAAATACTTCGTCGCCGACCTCAAACTCCAACGTCCTCCGACGTTTATCAGCATAGCTCTTCTGCCGGTCTTGGGCAGCTTTGAGCCTATCCTGTATGACTTTTATCTTCTCTTTAGTGATCTCGACTAGCTCGGTGCCCTCGAGCTTAGATTCGCCGACCTCGTCCCAACACAATGGTGTCCGACATTTCCTCCCATACAATGCTTCGTATGGAGGCATGCCTATACTCGTCTGATAACTGTTGTTATAGGCGAATTCCACTAAGGATAGCCTTGGTTATCTCCACATTGTAAATAGGTGCGACTTATGCAAGGGTGGTTTGGAGACAATACCACACCTCTTTTTCCTATGCCTATTTACGCGTATGATATGACAGCAGATAAGGAATTGGATGGGACTCGGGCATGATATGACAACATTGCTAAGTGCAATTAAGTGGATCACGAAGACTCATAGAGGATCGAAGATGAAGGCAAAGGCTGCTCGTATTGCTTTTTGTGCGATAGTTTACTACATTTGGCATGCAAGGAACGAAGTTAGGTTTGATGATGGCAAGAAGACGGAGGATGACATTATAGCAAAGATTAAACACGTGGCTTACAAGATACTCTTTAGTATCTACCCGCATGAGTTGGTCACCTTTTGACATGGACGCTTTGGAGTGTTTTGTTTTTTGAAGCCTCGGCTTTTATGGATTTGTGGATTTGTGTGCGTGCAGTCTTGCAGCACCGATTTGTTTTTGACGTGTTGGGGCATTTAGTATGTATACTTAGCCCCGTCTTGATTTTGATTTTGGATTAGATCGAATAAAAACCTCTCCTAACCCCTACACTAGGTAGGGGTGGGGAGGTTTTAGGAGATCTAGAACCTTTTGATGTATATTTTCTTGGGTGTTAATATATATTTACATTTCATCCAAAAAAAGAGGAAAGGATACAATCATACACAAATGGAGTGAAAAAATTTCGGAGTTCTCACATATCATTTTATCAAGGACTATTATCAAGGAATATTATTGTATATTATTCTATACGAAGTATATTACTCCGTATATTATATTATTATGTGTGTCGGTGTGTGTGGGTGTATATACATTTTACATATGTAGATGGGTAAATTACACCGTAGCATGGTACAGCCGGCCTTTTAGTTCGCAAATCGCAGGTCGCGAGGCTTTCATCGTAGTTCGCAAGCTTCCATCGCAGTTCGCAGATTGTTCTCGTTGTTCGTCCTTCGCTCACTGCCCACACATATGATTATTCTCAACAGTCGCAACTCTCCAGCATGAGCGCATCACCTCAAATTCCGGCTTGAGTGGCGGCTCCTGCGCAACAACCCTAGTTGCTTCTTCTCCCTCTTTCTTGCTTCGGACTCTTCCTTTTTCTCGTTTTCTTACTTAGGTTTGGTGAATGAGTTTGGTCACTTGTTGACCACCGATTAGAGAAATCTAAGTTAGTTATACGTAATTCTTCAGATGTGAGCATAATAAATGAAATTATGAGCATAGTAGACATTTCAAATGAGTTTTATGAATACTCATTTTGTAATTTATGTATACTCATTTGATATTAGTGTAATACTCATTTTAAAATGTCATATTCATTCATATTTCAAATGAGTTTTATGTTAAACTCAAATGAGTATGATGCCCAAAATGAATGAGCACACACAAATGAACTTTTTTAATTATTCGATACTAATTTGTAATGTATGTATGCTCATTTTGGACTAAAACTTTTTAATAAATGAAAAAAATAAAAACAAAATGTAATATATGAAGAATGAAGGGGATAATGCTCACCATTAGTTCCTAATACGGTATACTGCATAAGCTTCCATGTAACTTGATCGACTTCCCCTTGGTCGACGTCAGTCCCCCGCAGGTCAACTTCTCCTTGGTCAATGCACCCCTGCTGGCCGACGTCCCCACAGGTCGACCTCCGAAGATCGATTTTTCCTTTTTTGTCGACTTCGTGAAGGTCGAGACCATAACATTGTTCCACTACCCCTTCTTACTCAACATTCCGTTAGCCAACTCAGCTATATTAACGTGTTAATCTAACAAATATACCTAATTAACAATAAAATCCTGAATTTGTGTGCTTAGATCAAATGCAATATGATATACTCCTTACTCCACTTAGTACAAGTTCTTGCTCAATTCACTCTTTCCTCAATCATTTATTATGTAGACCCCAGGGTCATCTGAGTGTTCTTGAACGGTTGATCGCTTCGTCAATCACAGCAAAAAATCCCTCTTTGCCCTGACTGTATTTGTTGGTTATCAGCCTATGGAGTCTCCTTCGCAGCTCTCCAGATACGCTACAAAGTATAATCTCGCAAATCAGTCTCTGAAATTTCTTTGTGGATTTTTTTAACATATTGGTTTCGTTGAATTGCTGCAGGAAAATAGTATTTCCTGGTGGAAGATCAAAGGATGTAGCGGTGGATGACATTCCAACTTCGATTAATGGGACTTCAAAGACTCTTAAACAAAAAGAGGTAGAACAGCTCATGCCTTTCTTGAAACAAGAAACCTTACTGTATGGCTATATAGTTTTTCTCTGCCCCATTTTTTTTTGTAGGATTTGTTAAAGGTTTTATTGTGGGTTGTTTATGCACATAGACATTTCTTGTTAATGGCTCCACTCTTTGTCTGATGACCGATTTGGGCTTCTTTTATATTTTTTATTTTCTTGGTGTGATTACTCGGTTGAAATGAATAACTGGATGGCAGAAAATCAGCATGATCAACTTGATAAGCCAAAATACTAAAGCTACCAGATGGATACAAAGTTTTTTCTTAACCCTATGAATTTACGAAATACATTTTCCAGATTTCTTTGCATGATATCATTCATCTGGACATAGAAGATGATGATGATGATTCTACTGAAGCTAGGCTGGGTAAAGGGACTTCTATGTCTAATGGAAAAGAGAAGGTAATTTTAATGTTTTGTTTTACATGGAATATGTTGTTGAATGATATTAGCTTGTTCTTAATCTCGACCTTACATTTGTTTCATTATACAATTCTTAACAGATATTTATCGATCTCTCATATGGTCTCAGTGATGGTTCAAAAGTTAAGGGGGCTCAGACTTCAAAGAAAAATTACTCTTCTGGTTCAAAAAATGTGATAGACTTGGAGGATTCTGAATCATGTGGAGAAGATTATATGTCTTATGACAAGTCAAATTCAATGCTTGGTCAGTACAAAAATTTGCAATCACATTCCGAGGTGAGGAAAAAGATAAATATAAGTAATGGCTCAATTATCGGGCAAAGGACCACAAGGGTGGGGCCATCCGTCTCATTTTCGGTACCTGCTTTAGGGAAGAAGAGATCAGCTGCAATTGATACTTCAATCGATACGAATTCAAAGAAGAAGTCATCCAATGCTGAATGGATAAATCCCCCCTCAATGCCTTTGACTCCCCCAACTATTTTTCCTGGATATGTTCCAAGTGGTCATTTTTTACCTCATGTCACTCCTTATGAATATGCAACTGCTGGACAAAATCTACCGCATTCATTGCAGTCAGCTTCTACTTGTTCACACTCTTCAAATATAGATGAAATTACGAAGAGATTCCGTGCTTTCAAGAAATTTGATATAGTGCAGGATGTTTCAGGCCATCACTATTCTAAAAATGCTTCTAAAAGGGTAAATGTGGTTCTTAAACTCTCCAATTCAACGAGGGCTTTCTCACGTGTCTTATATTTTGCGTTTTTATGTTGTAGCCATCAAAAGCCTTTCTGAAAAGAATACAGGAGGAGTGGAAGAGTCTGGAGAAAAATCTGCCTGGTAACCTAAATTCTTTATTTTAAGCTTTCAACAACTACCTGATCAAGTTGCAGTTATGAGCCTTTTGAAAATTACTTTTAGTAGTGGGTATCTTGTAGTCTAGAGCTTGATTGTCTTGAAGGTTGAACTCGATATCTTGGTTTGGCAATGTTATCAAATCAAAAGTGAAATGAAATCTTTCCATTTGGCTTAAAGGCCACACTAATATGAAAATTCAAGTTTTGGCTGCGGTTGATGTAAAATGAAAAATCTGAAAAATTCTTAAAATGGTTTGAAGTAATGTTTGTTACTTTGTTCCATCCAATTCTGGAACAGGTCATTGACTTGGTTAGATAGAGTACAGTATTAGGTCATTCGTTGAATAGTGGGTCACTGCATCACAATTCAAAAAGCAGACTCGATCTCTGTTCTAAACATTAAAACAAATTATAAGATGTAAGTTTTATTTGTTCCATTAACTATTCATGTATCCAGACCAACTTTTCTTTATTCATTTGTTTTTTCAATAATATTATTAATAGGTTCAGATCCAAGCTTTTAGGTCTAATAGCACTTGTAGATGTAGTTCAGTGCTGCTTGGGTCACACGCTGGATCCTAAGATTGCACAATTGAATGTTAGCCTACTGGTTCAGCGATCTGCTAGTATAAAAAAACTGCACTCCTTTAAGATTGTTGAGTTAGAATATAGATTGGTAGATTGGCCTTTTCAAGAAATGGCTCTTTTCCAAATCTACATTGCTGTGAAGTCCCTCTGTCAAAACGTGACGTCATACCTTTTCATGCTTCTTCAGCTCTTCTCAGTGATTCTTTATGTTGTAGCATACTTAATTGGGATTCCATTTTGAGATGCTTCCCTAATTACTGAACCAGGGTTAGGCAAACTGGTGAGGAGTCTCATCCATTTCATCTCTTCATATCTGTATTACTCTTTATTTTTAGTCAGAGTAAATTCTTCCCCTTCCTCTACTCTTCAAGTCATTTATGGACATAAGATAGTGGTACCATTGGTACCTCTCCTATGCCACTGCAAACTTGCTAAGCTAAACTATTCATTACTCCGTATTATATTTCTTCTTTTCTTTCATTGGGTCTTCATTTAGGTTATATTTCAAAGTGCAAAAAAAAAAATCTTCTATCAGGTTAGGTTCAAAGTTCCCAAAAAAGTCTTCTGGATGATTATTATGTATAATGGACTTGTTGCTATGGTTTGCAGTTTCATTATGACTTTATTTTCATTTTGATGCATATTTATTTGGTTCTAATGAGAATGAAACTTATGACTTATATGGATGAATTATTAATAGTAGTTTTAAAAAGTTAAAGTAGTTCTATAGAGGCATAATATATATTCTGTATATATCACACATGAGCAAGCAGTTTAGGATTCTAAGATTCACAATTTACGAGTTTTTAACCCCGTCTGGTCCCAACTAGGATCTTGAGTCTTACAACTTGGATGCAGGTTTTAATTTTTAAATATACACTTTTCATATAACAAATACTACGCTAATTGTGGCTTAAACTTGAATCTTAAATAATTTAACAACTTCAGTCATATCTCGAAATAGAAATGTCACCCACAGTTTCTTAATGAAGGATTAAAAATGCAATGTCTTAAAAAAATCAAAGTACCATAACCCTTCAACCTTATAACCGCGTGGATAGGTTTGTTGTAAGAGGTGTATTAACCTAAGTAGCACCGGGACGGAAACGGAAACGGAAACGGGGACGGAAACGGGGACGAGGAAACTCCAATCTCAAAATATCAAGATACGGGTACGACAAGGAAACGTCGAACTAAAAATTTAAATTTTAGTAATATAGGTAATATTTACGTCCAATAAATTCAAAATAAATATATCAAACATATATCTTTGTTATAATTCCACAAAAGTGTATTAACTAGATCTTTTTCCTCAGATAAGAAGATATGTCCAAGTATCTGATTCTATTGATCAACCTGGTTCAAACCAAGTTGATTCCATTTCCCATCCAATGAGTTGATTACGTTTCACAACCAGTATGAGGGTCCAGTTATAGAGTTTGAAAATGCCATATGTAGACATTACCTATCGGTAAGACGGCAACTTACTCGAACATTGATTTCACTTATAATCCCACAAGTATGGTGGCAATCAACACATAAGGATTGAATATCAAATTCATTGAGCCTTTTGAGAGTGGCTGGCACTTGAAAGAGTTTCATTTGCAGCTTGAGACAGGCATCGCTACAGAAGCACCTTTCTTCTTCACTACCCTTAAAGCCTTTATTCGTCCATAAACATTCCATTCCAGCAACTAAACCACAATCTCGTGAGAACTGGCCACTTCATTGCTTATAGCAATGAATTGCATTGAGCAGCTTGTTTCTGCAATGTGATGTGAGCAGCTTGTTTCTGCAATGTGACTGAAGCCAAAAAAGTGGGAAAGCTGACACCTCTAAGACTATGGTGACAATGCAAGGAAATGAGGTGTGTTCTCTTTCACCCTAAGAGTAGTGAATTGTCAAAAATTTGAGGTTTGTGGCTTTGTTTTAATTTAAAGGGAAATTATCACCGAACTCCCTTGAGGTTTCACGTATTGTCACCTAGACCCTTGCACTATTAAATATATACTTTTACCCCCCTCCTTATCCTTTAATGAAAGTTTAAATAACTCCTAATCATCATCATCATTTTCATTTACCCCAGTGCCGCAAAGGCTCCCACCTACGGTGGGGTAAGGGGGGGGTCGGATGTACGCAGTCTTACCCCTATACTAAAGCACAGAGAGACTGTTTCCGGATGACCCATAGTGAAAATCGCGTCCAAAATAACTCCTAATCATGTTTAGCAAAATTATAGATTTAATCTTGTAAATTTACTCACTTGCATATCTGATCTTGTAACAAATAAACTTATCCACATTAAAACTCTTTCCACAAGAAAGTACACTTTGTGGCGAAAAATTTCACATCTTTTCTAGTATGCGCTTTTGCGGGAATGTGTACCTTCCGATGAAATAATCCTTAATATAGACATTCATTAGTTACACAAGTACATCTACATGAGAGTAAATTTATAGAATTAATAACAAATACAATCGAAAAGTATGAATTTTAAACAACAAATTTGTATTTCTTTTAAAAGGTAAAAAATGAGATTGTATATATATTGGTGAAATCTGCATCTCATGTCAGATTTTTTTACTCACGTGAAAAAAAATTATTAGCTTCTGGAGTCTTCTTAATGTCATCAACTAATATGTTTTTAGATATAATAACAATATTTTTAAATTTTGAATAAACATTATTTATAATTACAGTTTAGCTAAGCTTTTGGGATATTACTACGTATTTTATACCTAAAACATATGTTGGTGAATGATTTTTATGGGAAATACTTATTTGGATGATTTCGACCTTGTTCTAAAGATCATTCACCAACATCTGTTTTAGGCATAAATAATATTTCAAAAGTTTAGCTAAAATGTAATTCTAAATAATGTTCGTTCAATTTTTAAAAATATTTTTATTATATCTGAAGTGTATTAGTGGATACTTTTAAGAAAACTGCTGAAGCTAATAATCTTTTTTCACGTGGGGAAAAAATCTCTAACATGAGATGTATATTCCACCAAGATTTGTACAATCTCATGGATAATTTTGAACTTTTAAAATTAATAGAGATTTATTGTTTTATGCTCGTATTTTTTTATTGTGTCCACTATTATTGTTATAGGTGTAGTTCTATAACTAATAAATATATCTATATTAAGGACTATTTCATCGGAAAGCACACACTCGCAAAAAAAAAACTAGAAAATAAGGTGTCAATTTCTTCGTCACAAAGTGTACTTTCTGGTGAAAAAATTCGTAATGCGGATAAACTTATGTGTTACCGTATCAAATCTGCAAGTGAGTAAATTACATGATCAAATACTCCCTCCGTTTCCAAACGAAAGTCACGGTTTGACTTCACGATTATTAAGGAAATAAATTGACTTTACTGTAGAAAACACTGTTTAGACACCGCTTGGCACTGTTTGGACACTGTTTGGCACTGTTTGGATGTAGATTTCTTTGCCAAATAAGGAAATAAGGGAAGTGTGACTTTGTTTTTGAAACATCTCATAAAGGAAAGTGTGAGTTTCTTTTAGAAACAGAGGGAGTATATTTTTTTGTTAAACATGATTAGGAGTCATTAAACTCTCATTATAGGATAGAGAGGGAGGTAAGAGTATATTTTTTATAGTGCAGGGGTCTACGTGATAATGTATGAAACCTCAAGGGAGGTCACTGATAATTTACCTAATTTAAACCCATGCTTATGTCACAAAATCTTCAAGTTTTATGCTTAAGCTGCACATGGCACTACAAAGGTTTGATTCTCCTTCGTCGTCTTCACCTGACTCACATAAGCAATCCTATCTTCTTTACGAATGAATAATAATCAATCCTATCTTATTTTTCTTAAGAAGACACGGCGGTGCATATATCTTTGTCATGTTGATCGTCAGCATCCATTTTCTATTGTGGCATTTCTTGATTTATTTTACCTATTTGATAAGAATTTCCAATCCGTATCACTCCAAGAAACTTTAGGAGCGAGCTATTGAGCAAATTCTCTGAAGTGTGAAGATTTCTTGGTCGCTCTAACTGAAGTCATTCACCTAGGCAGATTGTGGAGAAATATTGAGATCTGAACAAGGATCTCCATTTGATGTTCATCAACTTGAAAAAGACGTATGATAGGCTGTTCAACATCATCATGGATATGTATGATGATTGTACTACAAGTGTCCGTACTACTCTCTAGAGAACTTCAAAGTTCAAACTTCCCTTTTTATTCATTATTATCAGAGTGCATCAAGAATCAACTCTGAATCCCTTTTAATTTGCTATAGCAATGGATGAACTCATGAGATCAATTTAAGAAGATATACCGTGGACCGTGGTGCATGATGTTTGCTGATGATACTGTGTTGATTGATAAGACAAAATCAAGTGCTAAAGTGAAGTTAGAAGTATGGAGGCAAACTCTGGAGAACAAGGGTTTCAGGATGAATCAAAGTAAGACTTGGTATATGGAGTGCAAGACTTGGAATTACCGTAAATGGTATATGGCGCCAAAAACTGATGTGAGTTTTCTCGCACTTTAAAAGATTGTAGAATAGCGTTGAAAGTACGAGTATCGTCTCCACAGGGACGGACAAAAGGGAATCAAGGATTAATTAAATTCAGCGATTAAAAAGGAATAAAATAAAATAAATGCGTCGTGCGAGATTGGTTGGTTGAATTAAAATTAAACTAATGCGAATGAACGATTAAAATAAAAGATTGAGTTCTCTCTAATTAACGACGAAGGGAGCAAGGATTGATTCCGGGGTAATCAGATTTCTGGTAGATTAAGCCTAATTACATGAAATTAATTTAATTGAGCCTAGCTAATCAATACTAAGTTCTTACCGCTCTCGCGGCGTAGAGTACAATAATTTAGGGGACCAGGCAGATCTCTCATGCGACAAGATTCTAAATTATTGCCAAAATGAGCGAGCTTACGGCCCCTTAATCGCTACTAATCTCTTAGCCAACGATTAAGCGTGTGTGAATGTGTTCTAGAATAAACTAGATCTCTCTTAATTTATTCTATGTGCAATTGTAATTCTAGCCGCGGTTCCAGGTTACAAAAAATATCAGTTAAATTATTCAAACACAAATTAAACGGCATTCATGCAATTAAATCGAAAAGAATCTAGCCATCAATCATGATTAAACCCTTCATCAATCCCAAATCCCTAATTAAACTACTCACAATTCATAATTGAAGAATCAACAGAATTGGGAAGAATAGAATAAATTGTCATTAATTAAAAAGATGAACTTACAAATAATCCCAGGGTCTTGGAAGAAAATAGCGTAAAAACGGTGTTAAATTCGTCCCTAGGCCTCTCCGTAATGTTCGTAACCACTAAAAAGGGTTAGGGAGGCCTTATTTATAGAAAAGAGGGGGAAAATCACAATTCTGGTCGATGTGGGAAATTTCTGCGCGTAACTCGGGGCTACGCACGATCATGCGTCCCTGGCTACGCACGATCGGGCCTCATAATTTAGGACGGTGAACTAGATGTAGATGTATCCCATTGTATTAGAATAGAGTCGATAAAATGGAAGAGTTCGTCTGGATTTATATTTGATCGAGGTATGCGTAGAGTATTGTACGGTGAAACAACGTGATGGTTAAAAGATGAGTGTGGTTGGGATGTATGTTGCATTAGATGTGTGGACATACTAGAAAAGATTGCTTGAGGAATGAGATGATCAGAATAAAGGTGAGAGTTACACCTATTGAAGATAAAATGTGATAGTCTCGACTGTGGTGGCTTCGTCATGTGTTTAGAACACCGAGTGATGCACCTATTATACGAATTGAGGGGTGTAGAGAAGAGGTAGGGAGGAGAGGAACATGACGACCAAAACAGACGTGAGTTAGAGTGGCCAAAAATGATACAACACTTCTTGAGTTTGACGAGAGTATGATGTTGGAGAGAGAGAGATGGAGGGAGAACATACGTGTGAAAAATTGATCTATTTTTATCAATTTAAACTTTGATTTCATATATCGATCCATGTAAGCCGACCTCAAACTCTTTTGGGACTAAGGCTTGGATGTTGTTTGATAGGAATTTCCAATTCGTAAATTTGTCTATTTTTCTTTTACTTGTGTTCATTATGGTATAAGTGTACAGTTTTCCGCCTTTTGGACAAGGGAAGTTTAGTTTTTTAATAATTATTTTAATTTACTTTTGTGGCCTTGAAAGAGATTAAGATTTCGATAAGGATACAATACTCTGCCATTAAACTTATTTCTCACTTTTATATAATTTATTATTCATTAATTACTAATCTCCGTCCTCCTATAATTGTCCCATTTTTCCATTTTTGGATGTCTCTTTATTATTGTCTCATACCGTATTTGGTAACATTTGTGTGACTCTAATTCATTCTTACTTTTCTTAATCAACTCATTATCAACCAATTAATTTTACTTTTCTTAAAAACCACACCACTCCCTTCCATCCCAATATTAGGGGGACGGAGGTAGTATTACCTTCAGCCTAGAAGGTAAGGTAGTAGGTCATCTACTACTCTGCTGAGTCTGTCGGTCCCTAAGCATATAGTTTTACATTATTAGTTGTTTTGTTTTAAAAACCACGCTGAACATATGATATTTCAATATTTCATGTTCAGCTATTATATTAGTTTTAATATAATATGCACAATTGGTGTCATATTATCCTTTAGTATAGATATTGAGATAGGTAATCTAAATGAGTCCGGAGAATAAGTTAATTCTTCTCCTTCTACTTCTCCTTGTCTACCTTTGTCCGATTTCGGGGTTGAAAGTTGAAACATTTGATGTTCCAACAGTGCTTGCCTGCTGGGTGACAGAGTATCCCTGAAATGTATTTAACATTGTGTCCTGAACATGTCTTTGTCATCCACTGCTCTAAAATTCCCCACGCTGCATTGACGCTATGCTTCCCCAATCCGCCTTTGGTTTTTCTTAACTTTTCTTATCATTTTCTAGTCTAGCACATAAAATGAACAAATGTGTTTTTTTCATTACATGCTAATTCAATCAAATCTGCAAATGGTAAAATCAGATGGTCAATTGTAAGGTCTATTTTGGTATATACGTTGCACTCGAGAAATTGAGGATATCCTTGTGCCAAAAAGCTCCACACTTAAAGATGTTATCTGAGAGTCATTGTGCGTAGAAACTTATGACTAACCGGCCACAAAAGAGCATCCTCATTGTTTTGCCATCTGCCAAGGCTGGCCTTCATAGGGTTCTGTTGTGTACAAATTTAGAAACAGAAATCAAATCGGTATTATTAGTTTTAGATTGTAAATTTGATTTGGTTAGGTTGATGTTCATTCACATAAATTTTTGTTTTTATTATGTTTTCCGCCTAGGTAGTTAACTCGCTACTCGGTGATAACTCGGTCAAGGGCCGAGTAGCGAGTAGGACCGATTACTCGGGATTACTCGGTGACTACTTGGTCTTGTAATTATTAAATTTAATAGCACAGGTGCCTGAGATTATAGAAATATAATAGTCTTAAATTTGTCTTAAAATGCATAGAAATGAATAAAATGATAGAAATCCTAATGATGGAGTAGCAAAAGTCATACACATTCTAAGTCTTCTAGAAAACTAAATCATCTAATAATTTGCTAGGATCTCTGTTCTCTCCCCATGTCCATCCTAAATCATCTGATTTTCTCTTAAGTGTTGGATTAGCATATTCTGTCAGTTAGATTATGTGTATCAGTGTGTATCGATCAATGATGTGCCATAATAAACAATCAATATAGTGATATTAATTTAAAGTTACGTAGTACTAAGTATAATATATATAGTCATACTAGTGAAAATAATTTATTTATATCAACAAATACGTGTGCATCAATATTAAACAATCAAGATGGTGATATTTTAAGAATGCAGAAAAGAACAATTGGCGAAGAAGGAGGGGGGCGGGGCGGGAGAAGAAGAACGAGAGAGGGGAGGGGAAGATACAAGAAAGAGGATGGGAACTTATTGAGAGATCATAGTCACAGCTCTGGGGGATAGTAGATGTCAGGAACTCTGTTTAACCTAGGTTTTGTAACTTAGTTTTTCAATTTTAAAGGGAGAACGAGTTAGACCGAGTACTCGCCGAGTTGAAAACTTCACCGAGTTGAGAAACTCGCCGAGTACTCGGCGAGTAACTCGGAAATAAAATATGGACCGAGTCGGATAGCTACTCGACAAGGTCGGTACCCGAGTTGCGAGTACTCGCTGAGTACTCACCGAGTAGATAACCCAGTTTTACGCAACCTGACACAAGAGTTGAATTTTTCGGCAGATAAGATATTTGTTAGAGTGTATGAATCAAAAATGGATCTTATGAGAGCAGTTATAATTGGAGCTGCAGGAACTCCCTATCATGATGGACTTTTCTTCTTTGATGTTTACTTTCCCAGCAACTATCCCAGCGTTCCACCGGTATTATCCTAGCAGTCTATTATGGGGTTTTACTTGTGCTTTAACTTATGACTAACAGTTATCAATAAACTTCTCTCCTCCAGAAAGTTCACTATCATTCTGGTGGTCTTCGTATTAATCCAAATTTGTATAACTGTGGCAAAGTGTGCCTGAGCCTCCTCAACACTTGGAGTGGCAGTGGGAAGGAGAAGTGGATCGCGCGTGAATCAACAATGTTGCAGGTTTTGGTTTCTATACAGGGGCTGATTTTGAATGCACAGCCCTATTTTAATGAACCTGGATATGCTGCCTCTCAAGGGACTCCTATGGGCGAAAAGATGTCGCTACAATACAACGAGAACACATTTATCTCAAATCTGAGAACAATGGTTTATTCCATGAACAATCCACCCAAGGTCCACACCTATTTACATCCATTTTGGATCAATTTAGCTTTTGTTATATTTTACTCTTTGGTGCTCATCTAGTGTAGTCCTTTTTTGGGGCACCACTTTACTTGCTGTGATATTGATGAACTTTTGTTTTTATTATTGGCAGCATTTTGAGGATTTTGTTGTAGGATATTTCGTTCAGTGTGCTCAAGATGTTCTGGTGGCATGCAAGACATATATAGATGGTGCTCAAGTAGGTAGCCTTGTTGGAGGAGGGGTGCAAGATGTTGATGAAAGCGATAAAAGCTGTTCAGACGGTTTCAAGAAATCTGTTGCAAGCTTTATCAGGACACTTGTAACAGCATTCACTAAGGTTGGTGCAAAGGACTGTGATAAATTTCTCCACTTGCAAGAAAAAGCAGTTCGGCAAGTTTTTTCACCCATGACGTTGAATAATTTCTTTCATTGAGTTGATCAAATCTCGTACTCGAGCAGAGCTGCTGAGTTTCGTCTTTGAGGGCTTCTTCAGACCGACTGACGGTTTACTCCCTTGTAGCAATTACAGATCAAATTTGAATGTTCTTAATGAACTAAAAATGTATATATGACAATTTATAAGTTAGTTCATCTGCTGCTCATTGAACTGTATGAAATGGCTCGTTGAATGATTAAAATAATCCTTCATTCTTGACCAATGGGTATTTTTTCATTTTCGGATCCATCTTGAGCACTGGTTTTGATTTTATCTTCTTTTCTTTTCTTTTCTTTGTTGATATTTAACCATGGTTCTGGCCTTCTTCAGTTGAATCTTAGGCCACTGAACCTACCCCAATGGAATATTCAAGATGATATAATTAGTACTCAGTGTGTGGTTGGTTGCGGTCCCATTTACTTGGCACTATTTTTTTTTTTTTGTTGAAGTCCAGTCTTCACACGATTAAGAAACTGTGGCCTGCTGCATTTCGTATACTCCCAAAATTATGAAGTCAAGTCTTGCTTAAAATTGTGAGACTGCACTAATCATACTTATATATTTATTATTATTATTATTATTTTGATAATCCAGATGTCGGGGCTTACGCTCCCATAATCCTGGAGTCTATGAACTAGACTCCAAAGCCCCTAGACAATTAAGTCCGGATTTGATCACAGTCAGTCTCGTCAGTACTGGCTCCAAAGGACGAATCCAGCAGGACTTACATCACCTTTCAGGCTGCTTCTCCCACCACACGAACCCGCTACCTTCATTACCATCCTCTCCCTTCTCAGCCGCTGAGCAACTCCGTGAAGGTAGGAAGAATCATTGGGAGCAAGACATCTCCCCTCTCCCCTAAATGTGTCTAGCGGGATTCGAACCCGAGACCTCCGCTAGGACACGGTAACCTTCCACCCAGTGAGCTGGAATGGTTTACATACATATATTTATATAGATATGTGTTGTCTATATACTACGTACGGAGTATATTACTTTATATGTAGTATATATAAAAAGTTAAAACTAAATTAAAAAGAAGAAAATTCCTTAGATAAGATTACAAAATAGGGATGGACCCAGGTTGGTGGCTTGGTACGGTCCTGGTTCTGGATACCTGGGCTGTCCGGTTCAGATCCTTGACCCGGACCCGTTTTATCCCCCTGTTTCAAGCTTAAACTAATGGTCGGTCTAGGATCAAAACCGGGATTGGAACCACCTGATTCGATCCCCAAATAGGTGAACCGGTAGCGTGAACCGCTTTTGGGCGGGCATGGTTGGTCTCAGGATCGAAACTGGAAATTCCGGACTAGGTCTGATCCCAAACATTGCCGGACCTGATATCGGACCGGGTTAGACCAGGTCCACCTCTCTACGACTCCAATGACTATCGTTTTGAACAAAATAGGGGTAGTGCATAACTCAATGAGGAGAGGTTGACACAAGGATGAGACCTCAGTTCAATTCCAAGCAAAAACTTGAGATCGAACCTCGCTCTTTCGATCATTATGTGATCAAAACTTAATATACATCAACTCGGATAACTGTGCGAACGGTTCTAAAGGGCTCTAAGGGATGGGTGTCATTTCTATGAACAGAATAGCGATTAATCTAATACAGTTTGGTGTTATATTATTATGTGTATTTGTTGATGATCTAACTTGATCTTGTATAGAATGATGGATTTAAGAGTGTTTGCAAATATAAAAAAAAAACGATTTTCAAATTTTGACTTAAAAATCTAAAATTAGTGTTTTCAAGTGGGTAAAATTGTTTTTCACATTTTCTATTAATAATTCTATTTTCTCATTAATTTTGATCAATTTCTTAAGTTTATTTGAACTAGTAATTCTATTTTCTCATTAAGTAGGTCAAGTCATGTTTGACTTGGTGCATGCACCAATTACTGTAACTGCACTAAATAGTCGCACGTGTGGTTACAGAACCTGAAATAAGGCCGAACTTCTGGTGCACACACACATGTATAAGGTCTACCGCCACTTTACTGACCGAGTCACCGTGATTAACCTTCCCACCATCCTGTCGGGTCGGGGTGAGGGCCTTGGGGTTGGGCATTCAACCTTTTGGACCAAGCACTAAATAGCCGCTAGCCCTATATATCATCTCCAACATTTATCAATTGCATGAAGCTAGCTCGTACGGCGATGGCTTTATACTACCACTCATCATCTCTGACTTCTTGTTTTCCCATTTTCGTGAGGCTCGCAATATTCCTTTTAACGTCGGTTTCTTCTGATCGATTTCTTCGAGTCGAACTCGACTTCTTAGGTTCATTTTGACCTCTTACCCCACATGCAGCTCTTCAATATATAGCTCTACCAATTCTTGTGAGTTTAACTCAGCCCAGAATTATGGTTATAGAGCAGATGAGAAAACAGCAAGCTATGCACAACATCAACGTCACGCTCCACCAGAAAGGCGAAAATGACACAAATGGCATCTCATGATTCACGACTTTCAGTCAAAGATTCCGAAGGAGGCCGAGGAAGAGGAGGAGGACAATTCACGAGATGGGGCCATGCACCGCCAGTATTCATTGGTGAAGAGGTCTTATCCGCCAGTATTCATCGATGATATAGTGTCTAATCCGCCTGTAACATTTTTTGAACAACCCCGCTAATATAGGGAACCCATTTTGTATCCCAATTTGTACACCATTCAAAGGAGTGCCTATACCGTACAACCGGTATACGGTGAGCACCGTATACCGGTACGGATTTATATTTTTTTGTCCTTTTGTTTTTAAAAAATGGTAATAACTTTTTTATTTTTGATCCGATTTTTATAAAATTTATATCAACATTTTTTATTTTTCATGATCTTTCAAATGAGACCAATATTGCCTATGTAATTTTAACATATTAACATTTGCGTGTAAAATATGTAACTTTACGTGTTAAAATATGTAACTCACGTTCAGTCAGGCCAAATGCAACTCGTGTGTATAAATATGTATCTCTACGTGTAACAATATGTAACTTTACGTAAAAAAAATATGTAACTCGCGTTCAGACAGGTCAAATGCAACTCATGTGTATAAATATGTAACTCGCGTGTATAAATATGTAACTTTACGTGTAAAAATATGTAACTTTACGTGTAAATATATGTAAGTCGCGTTCAGGCATGTCAAATGTAACTCATGTTTATATATATGTAACTCGTTTTTAAAAAGATGTAACTTGCTTATAAAAAGATGTAACTTGCTTATAAAAAGATGTAACTCGCTCATAAAAAAGGTGTAACTCAATGTATTATCAAATGTAACTGAGGTCACTGATCCACTTCCAAACAGATTCGATCTTCTATTTCACAAACCTATCATCTCCCAAACAGATTCGATTTTCCTTATAATCCAATACTCATTAATATAATAGTTCGATAATTTCTTAAAATTACATAAGCAATATTGGTCTCATTTGAAAGATCATGAAAAATAAAAAATGTTGATATAAATTTTATAAAAATCGGATCAAAAATAAAAAAGTTATTATCATTTTGTAACAACAAAAGCAAAAAAAAAGGGAGGGGCAACTGCGTTGTTTTGCAACCGGACGCACCATCCTCATGGTGCGCCGGTTGCACGGTATAATTTGCCCTTCAAAGAACTGCTTTTGTGAGCCACAAAAATAGGGTGGGGTATACATTGGGGTATAAATTGGGTTACCTTTAGCATTTTTGTTTTTTAAAATGATGTTTAATTTCTGGCGTTTGAGTACATGAATGTTGTTAGAATGAATCGCCAAATTCTGTGATTGCATTGTTTTTGCTGAACTCAAGTGCTCCTTGTCTGCCAGATGTGTGTAATTTTAAGAAAAGTATAAATTTTTTTTTTCTTCCTAATGACGAAACAATTCAAAAATTAAATTATTATTTATCAATCAAAAATTAATTTATGATTATAAATATGAAACCAATGATTTTCTTAGTACAACTTAAAATCATTCTTTACTGACACTTTAGTTATGAGAGTTCGTCAAAGAGGTGATGCATCCTTTTGAATAAACTTTCATGAGATCCAAATTTTAAATAAATAATGATAATGATATATACATGCCCAATGTAACGATGATAGATAAACACATGAACCCTATCTTGTACGAAATGACTACGGGATGAAGAAGCTCGGATACGGGATGAAGAGCAAAGAACAACAAGAGAAAGGTTGAAAGAGATGGAACGCCAAATGTGTATTTTCAACGCCACCTACCGTCCATCCATGCACATACAGCACCCCGAGATGACCCCACAAGTTCCCTTCACGGGCAATATGGGCAGTATGGGCAATAGGGGTTTTGCTAATTATAGCCATATCTCCAACAACTTTCCGTATGGATATTATGATGATATCCCGACTCCCGGAGCTCAAGCTAGCTTACCGTGGCAGCAGCCGTGCTGGCAGCCGCAGTGGCAGTCGAGGCAGCCATCGTGGTGGCAGCCGTGGCCACGGAAGGCAACCCGATCATCGTGACGAACCTGATGATGCTGATGCTGATGCTGATTATGATGACTATTGATGGTGTAATAATTAGTTTATTAACATTTTAAGGATTTTTAAATTTTGATGTGTTAATGTATGAATATTAATTATTTGTGTTTTATAATGATGGGTTGATTAGATTATTATTTATGTTTAATGGTGATTAATGATGATTAATGATGATTGTTTAATTATTTATTATAAACAATTATTTATTAAGATTATTGTTTAACTATTTATTAAAAACAATGCTTGTTAAGTTTAAATTTTTGAAAAAGCGCCTAAATTTTAATGGTTATTATTTATTAAATAAACTTTTGAAATAAACATTCAAAAAATTAATGCGCTGAATTTTTAAAAAAATTTTAAAAAAATTTAAACTTTTGTCACGGACTGTTCCGTGACAAAATATAAATTCATTTTATTCTAAATACATAAAACGCTGAAAATAACGTATTTTTTTAAAAAAAAATGTTTTGTCACGGATCCCATCCGTGACAAATTCAAAATTTTGAATTTTTTTTGAAAATTTTAAAGCACCCGCCCACTCTATTTTAAAATTTTCAATTTTTTTTTTTCAAAATGTTTTGTCACGGATATTTCCGTGACAAAATTTAAAATTTGAATTTTCCGGCTCGTTTCAAATACCCGTCCACTCTATTTCGAAAAACCTTTTTTTAAATTTGTCACGGAAATATTCGTGACAAATAATTATTTTTTTTGAAAAATAAAAAAATTTATTCACGGATGCGTCCGTGACAAATGAAAGACGATGGGGTTCCGGTGAAGTGTTTTGTCACGGACGGTGGCCGTGACAAATCCGTGACAAACAGTCTCACGGATTAATTTCCGTGACAAAAACGTTATCACGCCCCTGGTGTCACGGATTTTTTCCGTGACAAATCCGTGACAAAAAAACATTTGTCACGGATTTTTTGAACTGCCGTCCGTGACAAAATCCGTGACAAACGGCGTATTTTTTTGTAGTTGTGATCATGTTCAATTTTTCATTATAATAATCATGAAGCCATACTCATAGTAATTTTAATCACAATTTTGTGCTTAAGATTTATTTCAATAATATTAAGTGAAACTCTCAATTTTAAGTGATCAATCTCAAACATTTTATTAAATGATCGGCTGGATATTGTGTTTTGCTAAATAGTTTTACCCATTTTAATATTTTTGCGGAATATGTGTACCTTTTATATATTTATAGAATACATCTTATCCTCATATACTAATGAAATGTGTATGTATATGCATTTATGTTTTTATAGTTATAAAATAGATCTTCTGATCCGATACTCTCATGGAATATGAAATGGCAAATAAGTAAGGGTACTTGAGGGAGACTAAAAGAGAGGAACAACGTTCTTAAAATGATGTACGATTTCTTATGCATAAATTGTATTGACACAAAAAGAGGGTACTAAGTATGATTCACAAATATAAGGTTTTTAGATTTAAACGATTCATTTAATTAATAACGTACGAGATTATCTACCAATAATCTCTAATAGATTTATATAATTAATAAAAAAATCATAGTTTTATTTATAAAAAAATATAAAAAATATTTATAACTTTATAATAACACCGGGATTAAATAACATAGAATAAAAACATTAAAGAAAAATTACTAAAATAATTAAAAAATAAAGAAATTAAATAGAATACCTAAAAATATTCAAAATTAAATATGTAGACAGTAGACCTCTGCCGCTGTATCCTCCACTTCCCAGCACCATCAGCTCGATTGCCTAAAAAATGTCATTTTGTGTAAAACAAATGGCATGTTCCTCTCCGTCCAAAAGGTTGATGCCCAACCCCAAGCCCCCCCCACCCCGACCCGACAGAATGGTGGGGGGTTAATCACGGTGACTCAGTCAGCAAAGCGACAGTAAGCCTTTACCCGTGCGCACCAGAGAGTCGGCCTTATTTCAGGTTCTGAAAACCCCCTTTTGGTCGCTGATGGCATGTTCCTTTCAAAATGTCATGAAGATAGACATTTTTATGTTTTCAAATTTCCATCACAATGACACTTTTTTGCACGTTGGCATTTGTTTCCGGAGAGGGGAGGTGGTGATGCTAGCTAAAAGGTGGCTGAGGCGGTACTCGTTGAGGAATGTATATTTTTTTTATTCTTTTATGATTTTTATTTTATTTAAAATTTTTATGTTTATTATTATTATTATTATTATTATTTAAAAAAACTATTAAGCGTGACAAGGGAAATGGTAAGATATGAACAGTTAGACCTATTTTGGGTAAGATGCAATTACTTGGTCAAGATGAAGAGAATATATTTGGTCAAGATGCAATTAAACCTTTTAAACTTTGAAAGGTACGTAAAACCCTAAAAGTCATGGAACCCAACACATCTAAAATGAAATAATTGCCCTTAATGAGACTAAAACATTGTCTAAATTCCACAATAGGACTTTAAATTTATTATTCCCTAAATAGGACTAAAGATTACATTTTTACCCCTGATTTAATTAAGCCCCTGATTTAAATAAGTCTCTGCAATTCATCGTAACACTTCGCCGACTCTGCAATTCATCGCAGAACATCTCTTCCTCTCATGGAAGGCTGCTCCACCATCGACTGTGGCCTCGCATCGCTGTTCCGCCGTCGACGGTGGCTCTGCAATCATCGACGATCAGGTAGGTCTTCTTCTTCTTCTTCTTCTTCTCCTTCTTCTCCTTCTCCTCCTTCTCCTCCTTCTCCTCCTCCTCCTCCTCCTCCTCCTTCTTCTCCTCCTTCTCCTCCTTCTCCTCCTTCTTCTTCTTCTTCTTCTTCTTCTTCTTCTTCTTCTTCTTCTTCTTCTTCTTCTTCTTCTTCTTCTTCTTCTTCTTCTTCTAATCCTCTTCAATTTTCTGGTCCTCTGTTCTCTTCTTCTTTGGATCTTTTGGATTTGAGTTTTATTTGTGTCCTCTTTTTTCTTCTTCTTTAGATTTCAATTATTTATTTATTTATTTATTTATTTTGATTAATTTGGAACCTCAAAATGCCATAAATTACAATCACTTAGAAAAATGTCACTTTTACGACATTACATTTATCAAGATGACAGTTCAAAGAAGAAAATGACATCTCCAAAGAGTAATAATGTCATTCGCATGACACTTTCGAAACAAAAATGACATTTAAAATGTCAGTTTTTTGAGTAAAAATGTCAAAATCCCAAGTTTCATACTTGCAGACCTCCAATGAGAATGTCAAGAATAATAACATGATGATGGAAGTTTCGTATAAAAACTGACATTCTCAATTATGTCATTCTCAGACAAGTCATAAAAATGTCATAAAATGTCATAACAATGACATTTTCTTATGGACATATGACATTTTCAGATTGTCATTTTGATATATATACTGCCACAAATGTGGCAGTTTTTTCAAATAACAAATAATTTTGACATTCTCAGATTATAAAAGTGGCATTTTTCAGAATAAATAAAATTCAAATCCAAAAAAATCCCAATCAATAAATAGAATTTTAAAAGGTAGTAGATGAATAGAAAAAAACAGAAAACAGAGTGCAGGAGGGGGGAGAAGTGCACCAGGGGAAGAAGAAGAAGAAGAAGAAGAAAGAAGAAAGAAGAAAGAAGAAAGAAGAAAGAAGAAAGAAGAAATAAGAAGAAGAGGAGGAGGAGAAGGAGATTACCTGTGGTCGACGGAGGAGGTGCGTTGCAAGGCCATAGTCGGTGGCGGAGCTGCAGTTCATAGGAGAATAGTTTGATGCGATGCGGACTACGGACTGGAGTTTTAATATTAAGGGTAATTTTGTCAAGCTACTGCAATTTAGTCCTAAAAAGTCCAAAAAAACATGATAGTCCTAGTTTTGCATTTTTCTATTCTTTTAGTCCCATTTAGGGAATTTACTCATAAAATTTACTACGATCCTTATCTTATCGGAATTTATCACAGTTCTCGATCTAATTCTCATTATCTTAAAAATTGTTTTGCTTGCTAAAAACATTTAATTTGTCATAGTCCTCAATCTCTTTTACGTACCATTTTAACTACTACTACGTATTCTACTACGTACGTGTATGTAGTATTTAATTTGTAGAATATTTACATGTATATATACTCGATATACTTGTAATTACAACTCATGAGCACCATTGCTTGTGGGGACAAAAGTGTGCTCTAGTAGCTGGTGGGAAAGTTGGAGCTGTTGTAGGATAGAAATGATCAAAGATTGAAACCCGAAATTTCTGTGCAAGTTATATTCACGGATATAGGTTCTATCACAATTAGAATGACAAACTCACCGTCATCTACATCCTCCCATATATGTATGGCTTGTTGAGTAGGATCGGGGATTGAACCTTCAGTATGTGTTTTGAAATGAACCACACACAACCAAATAAATATACAAACCGTACGCAGAAATGAATTAAAACAGCTATAGACTTAAGTTCAAAAAGTGTATCCAAATAAAGCTAATTAAGGCTGTTTCATCACATATACTATATAGATGTTCTAGCTTCGATCAACTTGCCGTGGACGGGACGTTACGCGGAGATAGATGGAAATTAGAGGATAAATCATGAAGCCATGCATGCATCATCATCATCATCATATATTATTATTATTATTCACAATTTTTTTTATTATTATTCAAAAGAATAATTTAATTAGCATACTAGCTAGTACTACGTATATAGCTTGGCTATAGCTAGCTAGGCTTAGAAATTTAATAAATTCCCCAAAGTACTTTTATTTGCTTTCTTCTTTCTTATATATTTTCATTCACCGGCCCTCGATCATCGTTTTATTTTTCTACTCCGGCCGAGTCCGTCTCAACGCCGCCGTCTATGGTTCACATCCAACCAATTCAATTCAACAGCCCGGCGTGTTCTTGCATTTGTCGGTACGTTCTTCAATTCCCGGCCCGGCCTTATTCCACGTACTTTTTATTGGACTTTTCATTTATTTCTTTCCTTCCAGTTAATTATACGATATTCTATTGATGAATTGAGAAAAAATGCGATAAATGGTTTTGTTGAGCCGTTAATAAAATATTCGGATCCTAAGTCTATAATTTTTATCTGATCTTCTACAGTCCTTATTGATGGTTCGTCTAAATTTTTCAGTTCTATTATTGAAAAAATTCCATAGATATATTTGGATAATCTCATATGCTGTTAGACCTTGTAGAAATGCAATTGAAGAAGTTTGATGGTTTCTTTCTCATTACTACTTGGAAGTCAAAATAATGTCACCCAAGAGGTTTACATACTAAGGAAGAATATTTGAAACTTCAGATTTAGGGTTTAAGGGATACATTTTAACTATGTGAATATTTATATAAATCTTTATACTTCTTGAAATTAAAGGTAGAGAATGGATAGTTAGGATTAATAAAAAGAGAGCATAAACAGTTGAGATTATTTATAAATTATGTTTAATTTCCATTTAAAACTAATCGGTTATACCGGTAGATCATGTACTAGCTATCTCCGTCTCAATTTGATGATCATATATTATCAACACAAATATGATCATCTTAATATCATACTTTATCTATCAAACTTTTACAAATTTGAATTTCTTTTTTGCGATTTTGTAAATCTTTTAATGTAATTTATGAATATATAATACTTCATTCTTCTCATTTAAAAGTTTTCGTCAACTATTCTCCGGTCAACGTGCATTGTTCTTAATCTTTTACTTTATATATCAAAAGTTTATGAAATTTAAATTATTTTTTGCAGGTTTTGTAGCGTTTTAAAGTAGTTTCTGAATATGTAAATTTTATTTACTAAAAATAATTATATTAATTACAGGGATCAGTTAACTTAATGGTCAGTCAAAAATCGTAAATCGCATGGGAACCTTAAAGTGGGACAGAGAGAGTATTATTTACTAAAACTAATTAATTTGAGTGTGCAGCCACGGATTTGTTTGTTTTATGTGGGTAAAACCACGTAAACCGCAACCAGGCCATTAAATTGGGACGGATGGAGTATTATTATTGGTAGATCATCCCTGTAGTCAATTTCCCAATGGATTAAACACTACATAACATAGTCTCTAATCTCTGTGGATTTTTGTCTTGCAGAGACCATGCATGGCGTCTGAATGTTTATGGTGAGGCTGAGAGGATGCAAAGTTGAACATTAATTCTGAGTAAAAAAAGGGCTGCACTTTGGATCTGTTGTCAGCATTGAATGAAAAAATAAAAATGGTTTCTGATGATGAAGATGGGGCTACTACTCACAGCACCAGCAGCAGGTTTGACTGCAACATCTGCCTAGATTCTGCCCATGATCCTGTGGTCACTTTTTGTGGTCATTTGTACTGCTGGCCTTGCATTTACCTTTGGCTAAGCACCTCCAATGAACACCCTTCTCACCACCCCAACTGTCCTGTTTGTAAGTCTTATATCTCTAAATCCACCCTCGTCCCTCTTTACGGCGACGGTGTATCATCCTCGTCATCATTCTCGTCCTCGTCCTCGTCCTCATCATCATTCTCGTCCTTGTCCTCGTCCTCGTCCTCGTCGTCTGACTCTGAGTCCAAGAAGCACCAGCCGAACATACCTCAAAGGCCACCAGCTCTTAGTGTGGGGGTGGTACATGATAATCCCGATGATCCGCCACCGCCGCTTCCATCAGAGCCGCCGCCATACTTGCCTCATTCCTTTCGGGGCAGCCATGATTCAACCCGGGCTGGCATTGGTGGCACAGTCATTGCCGGATTCTTTAACCCCACCATTGGGGAAATGTTTTCTGCAGCAATGTTTGGCAGCTACGATGCAAACTTGTTATTGGCTTTTCCAAGTCTGGATCCAAGGATAAGGAGGCAAGATATCATGGCGGGCAGATCACTTCATAGATTATACATCTTTCTCGTGTTTTGCCTCATTTTGTGCCTTCTTCTTTTTTAATTAAGGATGTTTTTACATTTTCGATGTGTGAGGAGAGACCGAGCCAAATACACTTTATTGGCTTATTCTGGTATGACTGTATTAGCTGATTCTGGTGATTTGTGAAAAATAATAATGTAAAATATATTTTATTAATAAAATAAAGAAAAAATTATATGAAAAAATAGCTAAAATGTCCTTCTACAGTAACTTCGGCCAATATAACCAGAAAAGTAACTTTAACCTTACTTTTTCTTATTATTACACAATTCAACCCGTAAAACCAAAAGTTACGTGTTTGGTGAAAAAGTTGGCTTAAAAGCCCGAAAAGCCAAAAATCATGGCTACCAAACGAGCACTAAATAAACTAAACTAGACTTTTATAGTTATAAAATAAAGAAAGATCATATATTTACCAAATCAGATCACACTTAAACAAAGTCCTTTTTCTTTATTTGCAGACTTCTACCTTTTTACCGTAAACAATTACCGCGATGGCCATCTACTCACAACGTCGTAGATGCTCCGTTGTTTACTTTTGAGTTTTGTCTGCCTTGCTTAATACAGTCAATTAATCTTAAAGTGACTGCCACTAATCATGTTTATTTATAAATTAATGCTTGAATTGCTCGGAAATGTGACTTTCGTACTCGTTAAAGTTTATACGGAGTATTAATTACTCATCTACATTATAAAACCTTTATTTAGTTAAAGCTTATACTCCATTAAAACGTTTATTTAATTATGTCAACCATAATTTTTAGTTTTAGTTTTTATTTTAAGAAACGTACGAGTCGTTAAACTAAAAATTAGATGCCTAAAATTTATTTTTAATTGCATCCTCATAATTTTTTGTATTAAAATTTTATTTAATACATTCTAAAATTTTATTTTTGAAATAAATAATATTACATCCAGTACAATTATTTTTAATTGCATCCTCATATTTTTTTTTGTATTTTATGTTATGCACTAAACACTATAAAATTATATTTGTAAAAAAAACATATGATCATGATGCTAACATAATTTTTTATACTTCGTATAAAATTTGATGTATATATATATTACATGTACAAGTTTGAGATACTTATCGCACTGCCCTTCAAAATTTGAGATATTTAAATTATTTTTTCCATTAAAATGTACTAGTAGTAAAGCGTCGTGTTATGATCAATATGCAACAAAATGCGGATCAAAATGACATTTATTTTGTTATCAATATGAGTATACAACATTATGACTTGATGATGACATTATGACTTCTTGATAATGATAGTATAATGTTATAATGATGGCATTCTTGTTTCAACAAAATATTACACAACGAGTCAAAATTCGAAAGTCGACGTTTTAAAATGATATTCACTCAACTTTAGTTATAAAATGGAAAAGTTAGCGCCTATTTACATTTTTGACAATATTTTCCATATACTTCAATCTAGGCATGGACCGGTTCCGGTTAGGGCCCGATTCGGGCCTGAGCCTGGCCGGGCCTCGGTTCAAGAAGGGGAGGCCCGGAACCGGCCCGGGTAACCCCCGGGTCCGGGCCGGGCCTCGGTTCTATTTTTTTTTTTTTGGCTTTTCCTAGTTAACCCCCAACCCTCCCCCCCCCCCCCCCAAACCAACCCTAACCACCTCAAATGGCCCAAAATACCCAGCCCGACCCAAAAACTTAAAAAAAAATCAAAAAAAAATTGGCCCGGCCCGGCCCCGAACCGGCCGGGCCGGTTCACCTTTTGAAGGGCCCGAGCCCGAACCGCCATCCCACCAGGCCGGTCGGGCCGGGCCGGGCCCGCACAGTAGCGGGCCGGTCCGGTTCCGGGCCGGTTGGCCCGGCCCGAGTCCACCCCTACTTCGATCCCATATACGTAGTTTTTTTCCCTGGTAACCGCACTTAAGTTCCCCCATCAAGAGAAAGCTGTCCGGTTTTAAATCTAACAATTGGGAACCAAATACAGGAAGCTTTGGAGAGTGCAGCTTCATCATAATGACAGACCAGATTGCTGGCACATAAAATACGTAAGACGTTTTTATAGGTAGACTTCATCAAATAAATCCCATTTTCTTCAACAACTTTTGATGTGTGGAAATCAATTTGACTGTCTAAAATAGCCTATGTGCTATTCTTGCATATCAATAGGTTATTATGTTTCTATATTCAATGACATCCCGATACAATTTAAAATCTCACACACAACACACACATACAAGATATGGTACACAAACAACCTAAGGATGCATCAACAGAAATCTATCTGAGTTCCCAAACTTCCAGGTGTTCAGTCTTTTTCCAGTTCTCTTCGTAGAGGCATCGAAAAGGATCGGGCAGCTACTTCTGGAAGGAACCTGGGTGGAACTGCGAAAGACATAGAAGCAGAGGGTACAAGGAGAGGTGTACCGGGACGACTTGAGTGTTCATTAGCATGTACGCAACGACCTTCTGCTTCACCAACTGTGTGATGCTGTAACTCAATCGCGAATGTGTCATCTCCATAGCTTGTTTGAGAGCTATCAGGAAACTGGCTGTCATCTTCCTCAACGGACAAAACCGTGCTGCCATCTGTGTGCACAGTTGTTGAATCATCAACAATGTGATGCTTTCGCTTTCTCCTAGCTGCCTTTCCCCAACCATGGATAGTTTCTCTTATTCTCTGTGGGATAAGGGCTGCCTTATAGTTTGTTCCCATCTGTCGGTAGAGGAAGGATTGCACGATGAATGTTTAAGTTCAATGACTACACCAGTGTACGTTTATTAAGACTTGACATTCTATATCAAAGGTCAACTTGATAAGACAAGTAGCTTATATATGTGCTTATATCTTTAGGGTGACTCATCGGAGAAAACCCACTGATTGCTAGTTTGAGCTTAATGAGCTCTAATAAGCAGATAGGAGTAACTCAGATAGGAGTAACTCAAAAACTTATACTTAATTTTGACCATGACTACAATTTGACTATGCTCAGTTTAGAAGCCCTAGCCAAACTAGGAACTTTTAGAGTATCAGCTACTTTCCAAAATTTGTGCAAAGAATTAATTTTTTTTATAATTAGGTCTTCTTAAAGTTACCTGAGTAACCAGTGCATAGAGGGGTAAGGTGCTATAGCTGCATAAAAATTGACTTGCAAACCTGAGTGATAAACAGTAGAATTAGCCTCAAGCAACCATGGAAGCATTGTTACATGGAAAATATGGTTTAAAACGTCTCATACCCTATAATTAGCCGTAGGTACACTAGCGTGTGATTAAATATAAAGCACGAGTTATAGCCAAATTGCCACTGCAACAAAGAATAGGTTCATTAAATTGACACTATCACCCAGAACATATGGTGTAAATGTGCACATACATAAATGTACAAACATACGGTTAAAGGTAGATTTCCCAAAATAGGAGTAAATGACGTTTGAAATTCCAAAATAGGACTACTTTGTTTTTATTCTCGAAATGGGACTAACATGAAAGTATTTACTGTCATCTTGTAGCTGTGACTGCCAAATAGTTGAAGTACAGTACATTTAGCATGACAGTATTTATTACTCCCTCCGTCCCAATTTGATGGTCTCATTTCTTTTGGGCACAAGTTTTAATAAAGTGGTTGAAAATGTAAAAGTTGTGGTTGAGATTTGAGTATAATAAAGTGAAATGATATGGACCACATCTTTCTTTCCAAAAAGGGAAACATGGCCATCATTTTAGGACATCCCAAAAAAGGAAATACAGGATCATCATTTTGGGACGGAGGTAGTATAATTAATGACAGTATTTTTCAATCATGGCAGTATTTTTCAATTTTCATACATGACAGTAATAACTCCTATTTCGGGAAGAAAAACATACTAGTCCTATTTTTGGAATTCCAAGTGTCATTTGCTCCTATTTTGGGTAATTTCCTAGAGTTAAATCAGTTAAAAAAATCCACTCTAACATGAGTCAAATCCTAATTCATTATAGTTTTAGGTCAAACTCGAGAAAGATGTCCAACTTCAAGTAACAAAATGCATGTCTTAGCAATTAACCTAATTACTGATCAAGTACAATTTTCCATCATTTGCAATGGAAACAAACATTCATTATTTTTTGGCTTGAGATTATAATGGAATAAAGCAAAATGGCTCACTATACTGTCTGCGCTTCTTTGTTATGAAGCAACAGTCATTCCATGCAATTTTGGACGGGATTTTCACTATGGGTCATCCGGAAACGGTCTCTTTGTGCTTTAGTACAAGGGTAAGACTGCGTACATCCGACCCCCCTTACCCACCGTAGGTGGGAGCCTTTGCGGCACTGGGGTAAATGAAAATGATGAAAATGACTGATCCAGTACAACTGAAGATTATAATTAACTCTGACAATAAAACCTATTGTCATCTATTCTCTATGTAAAAAAATTAAATCTCAACTATGGAAGAAAGTACAGATTAGGTCATTTTGTTTAGCTGAGCCAAAAGAAAAGGGAAAAAAGATTACCCAAAACCAGAAGAAAGAAGCTAGCTCAAATGCATTCTGCAATGGAAGGGGCACCACATGTTTAGCACAAATATGGAAGTATTAAGTTTCTTCAACATTTAAAAGGAAAAAATGGAGAAAATTAATAAACTAGTCGGAAGGAATTTATCAACCTGGAAGACAACAAAGTGAATCAAAGATAGCAGTAACTCTGGCTTCTTAAACCAAAAAAGTTCATCTCTTGGTTTTAGCTTTGTTGAGCTTGAACCCTGGAAATAGCTGGTTATTCCTGCACTCTCCAATGCCAAGGTTGCTATAACATGTTGAAGTTTAGTGCCGACCAGTAGAACAAGCTGATAAATAAGGTAGAATCAGGAGAAGATATATTGGCAGCTTGTTAACATATATGTCAGAAGTGTGATAATCTAGGTTGTGTGCACGTGCGTGTATATATATTGTGAGTGCATGTTTTGAGCAGTTATTCTGAAGTGCGATAATCTAGTTTCTTCAGAACAGAACAGATTCGTTTTTCATGGAATTTGATTTAAGAAAATTAATTGTACATATCATGAACAAAAGTGATCAACACATGGTGTAGTGTGGCATTCGAATCTGCACAACTCACAGTGATTGGAAATATTGCAATCCACAAATACAGATTCGACCCTGCGAGTTACAGAAAATGAGGATAAGCAGTTAAGCACGATGTCTAGGTCTAATAGCCACAGCAACTGGTGGAGAAGTGGTCCTTAGTCCTTATTAATTTAAAACATCATGAGTTATTACTTATTACTTCTCCCAACTTGAATACTTATTCTAAACGATAGTATCATATACCTTTGATATTAAAGAGCATAAACGCGATCACAAATCCCCACAGTGGTGCACTAAAAAAATATAGAGGTGTGTCAAAATCAATCAAATGAAAATTTGCATGGTATCATCTATAGCAGTAATACATAGGAAAATATATTTTTGTCACGGCCCACTAAACTGTTTGCGCTTCTTTGTCATGAAGTAGCAGTCAATCCATGCAATTTCGGACACGATTTTCACTACGGGTCATCCGGAAACCGTCTCTTTGTGCTTTAGTAAAGGGGTAAGATTGCGTACATCCGACCCCCCCTCTTACCCCACCGTAGGTGGGAGCCTTTGCGGCACTGGGATAATGATAATGATGATGATGATGATGACCCATGTTAAAGATATTGTACAAATGTTACCTTTTCAGACTTTTATATTTACCTTACACCAACAATTCTTTGGAACTCTTCTTCCATGGATCGAATCATATAGCTATGAAAATCATACTTCAATGTAAGGTTGTGGTTCTGTAAGGATACACAAGGCTTGAAAACTTGAGTCGAAGAATGCAAAGCATGTATGCAGTTATTCAAACAAACCAACCCGGTAATAAAAAGTAGAGGTTTTCCCATATGATAATACTAAATAGAACTCATGAACAAAATAGGTTGCTAAAATACCATCATGTTCACTGCAGTGTACAATTGAACGACACCCACTAGGAGAATAACACTATGATCATCACGTATTAAAAGTCATACTTTTTGTCCATTACTTATTTGTCATTTTTTCTAAATAGTATGTTGATTTTTTTACTATTCTGCAAAATATGTTTTTACTAAGTACTTGCATACCATGATAAAACCCTTCCTTAGTGTAAGGTAATCAGCACGAACAACTGAACGCCCAAATTGCCTGAAAAAGCATGTCTACGAGAAACATATATATTTTCAAAGAAACGTATCAGGTTTATCAAGTTAAAAAATCATAGTTCTGGAGCAAAAAAATGAAAAGGAACTTGCAATTATGATGGAAAGAAAATCTGGGCATGGGAAATGTATGCTTTCGTATTGTGATATAATATACATACCACCCAAATGAGAACACTATTCCTAGACAAAGGATTTGAGGTGTGGACTCTAACAAAGGTTGATTGCCTTCGCATTGTCATTGCTCTTGTACTATCTGTAAAGACAAAAAAGGTTCAAAAAAGAGAAAACCCAAGAAAAAGTTTGAAGAAAAGAATATCACAAATCAAGTCTGCAATTCATTTTGTTTGTGTGATCTTGCTAGGAGGTATTAAAGTCACTGACTATAGATTATTGGAGTAGCATACTGCATACAGCATGACACATCTCAACATACTCCCTTGAGAAACCAAAAAGAATGTGACTCTGCAAACACTAATGGTGGCACAGGCAAGGGTTAATGTATGATTGACAGAAAATTTGGGTTTATACATGATCACAAATCACAATTCACATAAGATAACAATATATATGCTATTAACCACTACTATTTATTCAGAACTATATGAAGACAGTTAACTTTAGGAATAGGAAAATGAAGACTACTATTCAACCTGGCAGTTATAAATTCATAACCTACCAGTTAATGCCCCGTGTTGGTCCATTTTAGCTTCATCCTCCCAAACTCTCCAAGTATGGACCTGTCATGAACAAAAAGAAATGAATCTAATGAAGAGAATGTTATGGTAGTTTCATTCAACAGCTAGTAGAAAAAACAGCAAGAGTTGCAATGGTTACATATAACTCATTGGCCATTGTTCTGGAGACAAAGAACCCTACCTGCTTATTTTACTTTCACAAACAAGCCCTAGTTTTACACTTGAGCATTAATTATATTTTGTACTAGTAAATTCTCTTCACATACATCATGTGAAATGATTCAATATTTGTTGGGTTCACTATATTGGGCATTTGGTCCATAAAGCACCTTGGCCAAACATCACAAGAAGATTATATCTAAGCTATTAGCTAGCTCAACTGAAGGTCTTACTTAAGTCTGTCTTTTAAATACCACAGAACAAGATTAGTGAAATCTGATGCTTTAGAAGGACATGAAATCAATCAGAATGTACCAGAACTAAAACACCACCTTGATAATGGCGAGTAGCATTGTCAAGCAGCTGTAAAATATATGAGTAAGGGCCATGACAAAGATGAAACGGTGCAACTGCTCTAGGCCTTCATAAGATACGAATGGTTCATGACTCTGCAGAAAAGGTTCTTTATTCAAATTGCAGTTGTTTGGAAGCTAGATAAAATATGAAGGAAGGTGAAAGAGAAGACCAAGAGAGTAAGGATGCAACAAATTAATGAATCTTAACTCTAGTGTACGACGTGTAGTCTTATAACTGTACGAAGAAGGAGGGAATATTTACATGCCTCGGGGCAAGTGTTTCGATCTAAACTATTCAGCATTCTTCTTTGCGGATGATCAAGCAAGAGTCCCATCAAAAGTTTCCGCTCCTTGAAATCATCGTTTTGCTTTTCTTCTTCAATGTCAGACTTTTTGCAAGGTGCAAATGCACTGTCATAATATTTCGAGGGGATGCAAGTATTGGATATGATGCTAGATGTTGCTGTAAGTAAGAGAGAAATGAATCCTAGTAGCATTAACTCTGCACGAAAATTTACAGACAAGGTTTTGAATTAGACTCGCTAAAAATATACTACGTATTAACGAGTGATTAAGTCATTGAGTGAACCATTTTCTCTAGTTGGAACATAGTTTAACAGTGTATACCTTCTTTCATTTTCTCCACAGCTGCAAGCAGAGGTTTTCTATCAGTTTCCTTTAGCCACTGGCATGCATAAAAAATTTAAATTATATATATTACATGAGTTCACGAGAAGCAATTTTTTGTCTCAAATTCCAATTCTTTATAACCACAATGAAGACCATTCCACAATGACAAATAACTGAAAAGCCCATTTTTCTCTATTGAAGAGTATGTCTTTACATCGACTAAATATGGAATAACAAATCAATATATAAGATATTGTACTTTTCTTTTTATTAGATCGATCTTTATAAGAATTGTAATTTTTCACCTATTAAATTGATCTTTTTGAACGGAATTCAATTCTAATTGTTGTGTGAAAGTCAAACCGTTGGTAGATTCTATATGAAATAAACAAAGATATTACACAATCCAAATGAGTTATCGAATCGTAAGGGATGTGTGAGAAAAATATTTCTGTTTTTCCTTTGTTGACTATACATAAATTGAGATATCAACTAAAACTCCAATTAGATTTGACCTTTTAAGATGAAACATAGTCTTAAAATGCTCTTTTATCATCTTCTATTCTGAACACAAAAAATAATAGTATTATCCAAAGTGAACAATATCTTATCTTTAGCATCAACGTCTTAATATGTCAATCTCTCTAAGAACTTATTTTTTACAACAAGACATTCTAGAAACAATATCCCAAAACAAAGACTTACATTGCATAGTCGGTGTATGGATCGCTCCACAAGCAGAGAAACAACAACGAAGACAGTCAATACAGATGCAACAGACCATGTTGGTGTTAAAGCCAATGACCTAAGTTCGGTTGAACTCTCCGACATTTTCAATGACTTTTGACAAATTGCCCTATCACAACCTCAACTACACCTCATCTCTGCTTAAACTAATCTCCACAACATGACAATGGAAGTACAAGAAACCTACTCACAACCCTTAGAACATTAGAGCTTTCACATTAAACAAAGGTATAGCATGGTATGTCCATCTAGAAGTCGTACTGTGAATATTTAACTGAAGAGTTGAACAACATGTTTTGTCCCATGACCATTCACTTTCCACAAGATCCAACCTTAACGAACAAGGAATGCTTCAACTTGACCATAAAAAAGAGGCACTCTTGTTTTATCCTTCAATTCAATTTCCAACTTTTTAGTAACTGAATATACCCAGCTTCTCCAGCATCATCCGGATTCAGCCCAAAGGAACCCGAATCTAAAGAAATGAGTAATTTTCTGGCTGACAAGAAGCAATGAAGAACAACTTACACCTCCAAATCCTCCAATGTATAAGCACACGAACGGAGAACGAAATATTGAAGTGAATAGCTAGCTACTCAGCACAGACCTAAGACCATAGAAACAAGAACAAAAGAACCCATGATTTGGAACAGATAAATCAGTAAGCTGTGCAAAGAGAGGAAAGAAGTTGGTTTACATTTACGAAACTTAAACAGGTTCGAAGGTTCACAAGAATAAGACAGATGATTGTGAAGGGCAGAAAATACAGAGGTTTGTTTGGCATTGTTGGGGCTAGCCAGCACCCACCTCACAACCTATGTTGGGGGAGATGGGACTGGTCACGTCCCCAGCAAATTCCGTTTTCTGAAATTAAATGTATAAAACTATTACTGGTAAATGTGTAGACTCGCACACATTTTACATGCTCTCCTCCTACTACGTACACAGGAAAACATAGGAAATTAGCAATAGTAAAATTTAGAGGTAACTCAGGTAAGCAGGGGCGGACCCACCCTAGGGCTAGGGGGTGCCCGGCCCCCCAGTGATTTTTTTTTTTAAAAATATATATATATATTATTAATTTTTTTTAACTTGGGCTCCTGCAACCCAAGCCCAATCCCAATTCCCCTTCCCCTTTTCCTGCGGCCCAAATCCCCTTTTCCCGTTCCCCGGCCCTTTCCCATTCTCGTTCCCCCCGGCCCCCTTTCCCAAATCGTTCGGCAGTTCCCAGAAGGCCAGAATCCCAGTCTTCCCACTTCCCCGCTTCCCCCAATCGGCCAATACCTCCCCCCTTTTGGCCTTTCCGGCTTTCCCGACCCACCGGTGGCCCACGCCCACGCCAGGAACGTCTTCCTCCATCCACGCCGCCCACGCGGACCACGCACTCGGCACTCGCGCAGTGCGGCCGGCCCACCGCCCACGCCGCCAGTCCGCCACGCGGCCAGCTGGCCACGCCAGGAATTCCACCGCCCGGTCCGCCCGTGAGTCACGCAGTGCGGCCACTCGGCCAGTGCCGATTGCCGAAGCCCGAAGGCCGAAGGTATGTTTTAATTTTTTTTTAATTGTTGATTTGTTGTGTTGTTGATGAATGATTTATGTTTTATTACTTATCACTTATGGTTTAAATGTTGAATACTTGAATAGTTCAATTTTTAAAAATTATACTCATATTATTTCAAATTTCAATTTTAGTTGGTCTAGGTTGTGTTACAAACAATGACTATGTTACGATATTTTTCGGCAATTCCGCCGAAACCGAAACAGCCTATCATTGGTGGTTCTTCATCGAATAAGCAATAGTAAAATTTAGAGGTAACTCAGGTACTGAGGTAAGGGTCGGTTTAGTCCTTGAAGTTGCATAAAAGAGATCAAATAAGTCCTTATAACGTCCTTACTGTTCGGGAGTCGTCATTTGGGGCGGTTCCCAGTGGAGTTTTTTGATAAAAAAAAATTTGAGATATTATTCATTAAGTCTAGTTTACTCATACCAAATTTTAGATAAAACTTAAATCGGGAAGGCATTCAAATGAAGTCTCGAAGATAACTGCACAGTTAAAAGCGCACTTATCTTCAAGACTTCATTTGAATGCCTTCCCGGTTTAAGTTTTATCTGAAATTAGGTATGAGTAAACTAGACTTATTGAATAAGATCCTAAAAAAAATTCATCAAAAAAGTCCACCGAGAACTACCCCAAATGGCAACGGCCGGACAGTAAAGACGTTATAAGGACTTATTTGACCCCTTTTATGCAACTTTGAGGACCAAAATGACCCTTACCTCGTAAAATTTACACTTTCTAATTGTCTATGTAAAATGTACACAAAATGTGTACACTCTAGTTGTAACTTGTAACACACCCAAATTTCTCACCCAAAATACTTGTAAATAATGATTTATTTGAAAACATCAAAATTGTGCGGCGGAAAATTTAAAAGGAAAATAGGGGCGTCACCGCCACACTCGGTTCTCACATAACCGAGTGCACAGGCTATCCACACTAACAATTAAAACTTTCCATGATTAATAGTTCAACTACATTTATTTATAATTAAGACTAAAATAAATTATTAGTCAACTTTAGTTTATGTGTTCTAGCGGAAGCTATCAGAATCAACTTCAACATGATCCTCAACTCCTGCACAAATAAAGTAGAGAAAGAAAAACACAAAGAAACAAAAATTAGCTGGAAATGACAAGTAACGCCCACCCAACCCTGCTAAAATAATCAGGTTTGATACATATATATAATTTTGTAAAACTTTCTGAAGGAAACCTTTCAAAACACTTTATAAAAACTTCTCAACACAGAATTCACCAGTAAAATAATAATATTTCAAATATAGATACATATTTCCAAATCATAATAATTCTAAAAATGCTAATATATATAAACCACCAGAAATCCTCATAAATATTCCAAAGCATAAATCATATGCAAAACTCCAAATATTCATCTCAAAACTTACATAAACATTTTATCAAAAACCTTCCAAAAACTCATTACCAATATTCACAATTAATATAATCATTCAGTCAATGAAATTCACCTCAAAGCCTCAAAACCAATGGAAGCCGAACTTATACCTTAAGTATGCACACCCCCTAAAAGAGATTCCAAGCCCTCCGGGTAGTAAAAAGTCCGAGTAGTCGAGACTTTTCTATCGACTACACTACAGTTAAGCTGGGATACTCCGCTTTTGGGAGATCCCTGGTGGAATTAGACTTATAGTTATTACCACTCACCAAATCCACATTTCTCCGGGTGCTCACAAAAGCATACATACTTCAATCTCAATCAAAATGAATATGAAATCCAAATTCCACAAAACTATTCACAATGTAAGTTATTAACTCCAACAAACCATACTCAAATGTACCATGCGTTATAGATTTACAAAATAGTCCAAAATGTAGAATATTTCATAAATAGCTCAAATCTCAATCCAATAACAATAACAATTCATACGTAAATCGAATGCTCAAAATATCATTTAATATAAAATACTCAAATCTCCAATATAACTCCCAATCATAATTAATACATAAAAATCTCATTAACTATAAAATACCCAACTAATCTCAAATAAATAATCACACATAAACATATGTGTTAAAATATGATTTTGGTTGACATAGTACTTACCTCAAATCGGAATAACTCCTAACCGAAGCTTCTATCTTGATCTTCACCAAAATCACCTTCTAAGAATATTAAAATTATTTAATTAACGACCATTCCACTTTTTGTTAATTATTATCCAATCTATGATTTCAATTTAGCTCTTCATGATTAAACACGTACTTTACCCGCTTATATTAAATTTATATCTTTATTCTCAATTAATCGTAAAGATATGCATTAATGCATGATATGATGTTTTTTTGTTGACATCTCTGACCAGCAAGGAGTATATTATTGGTACTACATACTTGGTTATTAAATAGAGGAATTTACCAAAAAATGGGACTTTTTTGCCTGACAATCCAAAAAGCGGGAGTTGCAATTAGGTTACCAAAATACGGAAGTCGGGTTTACCTCTTCCGACAGGAGAAGGAGCTCGAAATAAACAAAATAAACACCTAGTCGGAATTGGAGAATCCGACTAGGGTATTTCTAATTAATTTTTATTGTTTTCCTTTATTTTAGTATAATAAAGGAATGGTAAAATCCCATTACAATACAAACATACTCCCTATAGTCAGAACTGGCAAATCCGACAGGAGTAATTCTTTTTTTTTAATAAATAGATCTCATTTCCATTTAATTATATAAATTGGATTGTATACAATTTTTTTACACAAACACACAATAGGGAATCGAAGGGATTTGTGTTCTCCATCAAATATTCCCATTATATCGAAGCATCAGATTACTTACTATGCATCATACCCTTATTATTTTTGTGTTAATTAATTATTAGAATACGAATTTCGAAATTAGGAATTTATAATTTGAGTTAAAATTTGAATTTAGGAATTTCAAATTTATATTTTAAAATGAATAGTATGGAGTTTGATTTTTTTAATATCAAAATATTAGTTACTTTATTTTATTTATTAATCCATCCGTATTGTGAATTAAATTCATAAAATGAAATACAAATTCGATTTTGTACACCCGTGCGAATATTAAAACTCCTTGTCAATTTTACAACTCATGTTCATGATATAGGCCGATTACATTTCACATGATAGTATCCTTACTGGGTCGAATTGGATTTTTTATGATCCGGGTCTTAAAATGTGAATTAAAAGTGTGAATATTAAAATTCCATCTGTATATTAAGAAACTCATGGTCAATTTCACAACTCATGTTCATGATATAGGCTGATTGCATAAACATCGGATGATTGTGTCCTTATTTGGTCGAATTGGGGTTTTTATGATCTGGGTCTAAAAAACGTGAATCACAATTGTGAATATTAAAATTCCATCTATATATTAAGTAACTCGTGATCAATTTCATAACTCGTGTTCACGATATAGGCTGATGGCATAACCTTCGGATGATTGAGTCCTTACTGGGTCGAGTGAAATCTGACTCCTGCTGGCAACCGATGTTAGTCTTTCCCGTATTTTGGGAAATCACCCCAAAATTAACGCACTTTGAACATAATTGTAGATCCACCCCTGCATGTTCACGACTTCACGCGCGTGGATTTACGATGTTTTTACTTGGACTGTAATTTGTTGGTCTAGTCTGGTCTGAACTGATCTGGTCCGGTTTGAACTAGTTTGGTCTGGTCTAGTAATGGCTGGTCTCTTTATATTTTTATAACTATCCATGTTTGGTCTTGTCTTATCTGAACTGATCTGATCTGGTCTTGTCTGGTCTGATTTGAGAGTGAAAACAATCCAAGTAAAAACATCCTTATATGCGGATTTGATCATTTAATTCACATAACCACATTTTACCACGCCTCACTAAGACAAACAGATATTTACTGATCACGATGGCAATCGTTCCAACATAGTAACTGGTGCCTTGGCGTTGTGGGCGGATATACAACATAATATATACTTTCTTGATTATGATCGACATATGTCCGTCGAAGCAACTAAGAGGTTCCGAAAATGGTACCAGAAGCATGGTATGACACGTGTGCATAACCCTTCTCACAATGTGCCCATGACAGGCTACATCCCGACATCACACGATTGGGGTATTGTGGTAAGTTTTTGAATACATACCATATTCATTAACATATATCATGTCATATTATTTACACGTCTTACATTTTTATGCAGAAGCAAGGCTTTAACGAGGTGTATCAGCTCTTAGCCGACCGCGCGAGTCATGAAGACTGTCAAAAATGACTACAGCGGATGGCCCTGGACGTAGGTGATGAAGAGATGCTCCGTCGGAGCATATTCCATTATGAAGATGAAGATGAAGGTGGAAGTGACGAAGAGGATGATGCAGATGAACATGAAGGTGGGGGTGAGCACTCACAATCACCTCCTCAATTCTCAACACGTCAGGGTGTCTCATTTGATCACCCACCCCCTCAATTCTCAACGCATCAAGGTGTCTCATTTGATCAACCACCGCTGTATTATGATCCTCATCAGTACTCAACACAAGCGGGTGATTATGTTGATTCATTTCTGGATTCGTCATTTTACTATGGAGACACAACGGGGCCTTGGAACACTCGCGGTGGGGACGGAGCAGGGTCGAGCACGCAACGTTAAATGTAGTATTAAATTTAATATTATATGTACTGTCTATTCATTAATAAATTACATTGAAAACTACATTTATTTTGTTCACTTCCATTAAAGTTACAAAAATTGCACTTAAAACAAAATCAAATTTGTATCTCATTTGATGAATGAATTAAATCAAGATTGTACTTAAAATTACAAAAATTGCAATTAAAACAAAATTCACAATAATACAAATGGATTAAAAAACAATATAAAGCAATCAAATGTTTGTTACTCAAAAAATCAAAATGCTAAGTTTTCATTCTAAAAAATATGCCAGAAATCTAAAAAAACTTTTAAATTTGGAATGGATAGAATTTAGCCTAGAATTTAAAACTTTTAGTTTTTAAAACTCAAAATCAAAAAATTAAGAATTGTGAAAAAAAATAAAAAAAACCTCCTAGTCGGAAGTCCCCAATCCGACAGGAGGGATAATGGATAGAATTTAGTCTAGAATTTAAAACTTTTAGTTTTTAAAATTCAAAAACAAAAAATTAAGAATTGCGCAAAAAAAAATATAAAAACCTCCTGGTCGGAAGTCCCTAATCCGACAGGAGGGGAGAGGTTGTTTTTGCCAGAAATCTAAAAAAACTTCTAAATGGATAGAATTTAGCCTAGAATTTAAAACTTTTAGTTTTTAAAACACAAAATCAAAATATTAAGAATTGCGCAAAAAAAAAAACTCCTAGTCGGAAGTCCCTAATCCGACAAGAGGGGAGAGCATGTTTTTCGAAAACCCTATCTCTAGTCGGAAGTGGGTGTTCCGACTCCCGTATTTTGGTAAACCCTAGAAATATCCCCGCATTTTGGCAACCCCAACCCTATTAAATAAGTATTTACTTGGTTATTATTATTGTTATACTACATATAATATGCATTATTATTATTATATTAGGCTTTAAATGTGAACTCTTTCAACATTTTATTTTTTTGTATGGTATTTTTGTACACGTTTATTTACTCATATCTTTAAATTAAAATATCATTTTACCATATGTATAATCACTTGCTACTAAAATGTCACTTTTTTTTAAGTCAAGGTCCTACTTGGTCAACATATTTATTATAAAAGCGTCACTTTTATTATTGAAACATTTTTATCTGATTAAAAAAGTCATCGATGTTAAAATTTTATTTGTTTCACTTAATTATTAAAATATGAGTTTCATCACATTTTACTGACTAATAAAATTTATTTATTTTATTTAAAATTTTCTGAGTGTCACACTAGTTGTCTGTGTGCACATGCATCTCGTTTAGAAAAAAAGTAGCAATTGTGCAATCACAAGAGTGTTAAATGTGTATACATTTTTTTATACACCAAGAGTGATTGAACTATTACGAATTATATCCTTCCACATGAGATTGTCAAGTTTTATTACTAAGAAAAGTAAGAATTTGTATAATTAGAGCTACATGAAGAAGAGAAGTGCATAGTATGACTTATGGTCATGAGAGAAATAATCTAAAATATAATCACACACTACTCATAGGGATAGTGATAAATTTCTTAGAAAAATAAAATATAATCACTCGATAACCAGAATTTTGTATTCATGTGGTATTCTCTCCGTTGTGCTGTTATTAATTATCTCATTTGTCTTTTGATTCATTTCACTAAGATTATTACATATCAAGTTTATGTGTCTCTGTTACATTGTTAATTTTTTTACTTTATTAATTGATATCAACCATATAAATTCACTTTTTAATAATCGCATTAGTTTTTTAACAAATGTTCCAAAAGGATTGAATCTCCAACCCCACCCCACGCCTGACCCAACAAAGTATTTGTGAGGTTGTAAATCATGATGACTCGATTAGTTGAATGACGTTAGACTGTGTACCCGTACACACCATAGATCCACTTCAGGACACAGAAGTAGTAATCTTCACACGGACGCTATCTATTTCGGTTTTTAGTTAATGTTTCAACGCTTTCGCTACTCAATCAACTAATCTATCCACGCGGCTTCATTTTTTAATTAGCGGGACGAGCGGTATAAAACATCATCATGAAATAATTTTTGATAACTAATCTTTTTGGCTGTTTGACTATTGATCATGAAAAATGATTGGACTACAAAATTCAACGATCAGTTGGCATTTAAAAGAGTAACATATGATTATCTTAACTATTGCTTCCCGGTATCCTAAATTTGACTATTTAAATAACAAAATTTATTAGCGAGAGTGACTTTTATTCATAGAGTGAACATCTCTCTTGTCTTGCTCCAATTATCAATTCAGTATCAATTTTTTTTGACAAAATCAATTCACTTTTTTTATTTGAATTCAGTTCCCCAAGATATTAGAAGTTCATTTCCTAAATTAGAATTTAGAGGGAATTACAAGATAATAATTTTAAAATCATAAATGTCACTAACATTTTATGAAAATGTATGTTTTATATCACCACTAGTTACTACTGGTATTATCGTCTTTTTCGAACAAAATCATTGTAGCCTTTGAATTTTTTTGATGATTTTTCCTACGAGCCTTTCCAACACACAAAAAAAAAACATTCCCTCGACGATATGCAGCTAATGCCCGCGGCGGTTGTTTTTGGCAAATCTCGTCGTCGGTAGGGAAAATGTGGTGGAAGAGGACAGTTGGCTAACTATTAGGGAGGATTTTGAATTATAAAATGCATAGATCTTTTTAAAGATTTATTCAACTGACTTCCCGATTTAATTATAAGCTGATTTTTTGTGAAAATAATTTAACTTCATGTAGAATATTCTCAAAAAATCATAAACAATTCCACGGGAAAACACCTCAAATGGCGGAGCAATTCGTCGGTACTCGAGATATATAGTTATATATATATATATATATATATATATATATATATATATATATATTTGTATTATTTATATTTATATAACCATATTTAACTATAGAAAATAAGGCATAAGAATGTTTTTATGGGATGTGTATTATAAATTAGAATACTGTTTTAAGTATATAAATGTGCTGTTAGGTTATTTGGGTCATTGAAATTCAAAGTTTCTCAAGATTTGAAGCACATAAAATTTATAGGCTACATAACTAACATAATATTAGACATTAAAAACACAAACATATTATTGTATTATTTAGTGACTAATTTGGGGGATAAGTTTTCTATCAAGTTTGAAAAGATTTGTCACTTTCTATTTTTAGGGTTTAGACTTTTGATTATTTAACAGGCCTAGTAAACAGGTCTCGGTTGAGATCAGACTTTTAAACAAGTAGGCTTAGGCTTAAACAAGTAGGTAATAGACCAGACCTGAGCCTAAACATGCTAAAACATGCCCGACCTGTTTTAGCAAAAGTCTTACTTGGCCTGCTATGTTTTCACCCCTACTTATGATCCCCATGGAGTTGATGGAGGTGATGAAAAGCTGTAAGAAAGGGCTGATTGAGCTGAGAAGATATCACATTACTTCTTGCGTTAACTAGGGAAATTCAATTAAGTTTAGGAAAAATTGACAATAGTAATTTTACTACATAAATAATCCACCTAAATGTAGTCCTATAGCAATACCAATTGTACATTTGCACCGCATCTTGTTTCGTTTCTGTTTGTCCCTATCTTGTTTCGTTTCTGTTTGTCCCTATCCGGTTAATGACATGTTATTCCAGGGATTTTGCCTTTTCTTTGAAAAATATTAAGTAAATAATCTCACCTTTCACCGATTTTAATAAAACGGTCTCATAAAACATTTTTTTTCTCCTAATAGTTTTCTCGCTTTCTTTTTATTATCTCGAACTAGTTTTTCCTGTTTTTATATGAAATAATGGCCAAAATATTACTTCTAAAGTTTGGGTGGACACAAATATGACTAATTTTTGAGTTGACAAAAAAGTGACATGTCCCTATGCTTCCAGCCCAATTCACGCTTCACTTATATCCTTCCTCTAGACCTTGTATTTTCCTTGGGTATTGCGATCAACAAAGCGCTTATCACTATCTTGATCCCACTACCAATCACATCTTCATTAGTCGGCATGTGGTGTTAAATGAGTCTGTCTTCTCTTTCTCTAACCATCCAACACCAGTTACAGATCTGTCCTCTGAAATTGACAATTGGCTTCAGCCTCCTATCTCTTATCTTCCTATCTCAGGTACATCACTCGCAAAGGTGTCTCCTACTGCTCATACCCCAACGACACAAAACTTCCATAACTCCACTCCATTAGACCTTCATACAACTCATAATAGTCCACCCACTTCTAACCCACCGGTCCTCATCACTTATCACCGTCGGCCCAAACAAAACCCAACTGCCCCATCCTTACCTAATGCACCCAATACCACTCCCTCAACCATCACGCCCACTACAAATAATCCCATATCTACCTTGGGTCACCATCATGATCCAAAAGTCTCTCCACCCAAACGTACCCACCCAATGATCCTTCGTCCTCGTAAACAAGCTAATATTGTCACTCACTCATCATTACCTCATCATATTATTCCTACTTGTGCTTCTCAAGTTTTACAGGTACCTGAATGGAAGAAGGCTATGTCTGTTGAATTTGACATCTTGGTTCAACAAGGGACATGGGAACTTGTACCCGCTCATCCTGGTCAGAACATTGTTGGGCTGCGAATGGGTTTATACTGTGAAATATAAGCCTGATAATATGGTTCCTTGGATCGTTTCAAAGCTCGATTGGTGGCTAAGGGCTTTCATCAGCGCCCGCGGATTGATTACTCCGAGACCTTTAGCCCAGTCATCAAGCCAGTTACTATCCGGGTTGTTCTGATCATTGCCCTTTCTCATGGCTGGCACATAAACCAACTAGATGTCAACAATGCATTCCTACATGGGGCTCTTCAAGAGGAGGTTTACATGAAACAACCCCTGGTTTCAATCATGGCTCTGGAAGAGTGTGTCGTCTTAGGAAATCCATCTATGATCTCAAACAAACGCCTCGAGTGTGGTACCAATCTCTGAGTGGATTTCTTTTATCCCTTGGTTTTCATCACTCAGTTTCTGATGTTAGCCTCTTCATCTTTTCTTCTCATCCCTCTTATATCTATGTGTTGGTATATGTGGATGATATTATTGTCACGGGCTCTACACCAGATTTGATTCATCGGACTATTGACTTGTTAGCACAAAAGTTCTCCATCAAGGATTTGGGATCATTACATACCTTTTTGAGCATACAGGTCACTCCTACATCAGATGGACTCTTTCTTGATTAACACAAGTACATTACAGATTTATTATAGGTGTTGCACATGTACGAGGCGAATCTGGTATCCATACCCTTAGCTTCCTCAGCTTCCTTGACTCTGTTTGATAGCTCGGGTCCTTGTGATGCCACCCTCTATAGTCAAGTTATTGGATCACTTCAGTATTTAAGCCTCACCCGACCAGACACCGCCTTTGCCATCAATAAGCTAGCCCGGTTTATGCACAAGCCCACGGTGAATCATTGGCAGCTCATGAAACGTCTCTTACGGTATCTTCAAGGAACAGCGAGCCTCTCATGGTTTATATCTCCGCCGGAGTTCTCAGCTTTCATTGTGTGCTTATGCTGATGCAGACTGGGTGGGAAATCCAGATGATCGGTACTCTACGAGTGCCTATGCCATTTTTCTAGGAGAATCGCTTATTTCATGGAAGTCATCCAAGCAACGCACAATTGCCAAATCCTTTACCGAAGCAAAGTATTGGGCCATATCCACTGTTGCATCTGAAACTATTTGGATTGAGTCACTTCTTTACGAGCTTCGACATTCCCCTTCTTCTCCCCCAGTTCTTCTATGTGATAATAAAGGCGCTACCACCTCTTCCGCCAATCCAGTATTCCATTCCCGAATGAAACATGTTGCCATAGATTTCCATTTTGTCCGTCAACGTGTACAACGTGGCCTTCTTCGAGATCTTCATATTCCCTCTCATGATCAACTAGCTGAAATTCTCACCAAGCCACTTTCACGGTAGCGATTTGTTCTTCTACGTGCATGACAAGCTCAGGATTCTTAGCACCGATAGAATACCTGGCTTGCGGGGGCATATAGAAGAGTCTAGACAAAGAAAATTCTAGACAACAGTTACAAAATTAATTAGAGTTATTAGTTACAAATATTTGTATTTAATATTATAATCAGTAACCTACCTTGTTGGTCCCTAGAATATTGTATAAATAGCAATTCATCTCATGGAATAAATCAAGTTCTTCAGTCTCAATTCTTTCTTATTCTAAAATCCTTTAGGTGTCACTACAGCGGCATCATTGTAACAGCGTCACTGTTGTGACGTCATTGAAAAATCTGTGTGGCAGTGTCACTTTGGCGACATCACTGTAGCGGCGTCACTGTGGCAGCGTCACATTTGCGTGTCACTATGGGTCGGTCTCCCGGCGGCGGTCTCCGGCCGGCGGTGGTCACCGATGTGTGGTGGTGGTTGAAGTCATTGTGTAACTTGTCACTATGGCATGTAACTATGACGTGTCACTGTAGCATTAGTTAAAATTATTAAGCTTTTCCTAATATATGACCTTGTTAATCACATTTTTGTCAAAATTTAAAAGTAGACATTTTTTGGAAATTTACTCTAACTTAGTAATATCTAGGGGAAAACCCCTTTTTATATTCTTGTAATTTTTATTTATTTTCCTTGTTTAAGTATTCCCTTTCTTCTCTCTTAGAAAAAAGTGTACAACTTCTCCCCCGATTGTTTTTCCCCTTTTTTTCTTCCTCATTTTGACTCTCTTCCCCTCTTCATGTATTACGGTTTGATTTAGTTCTCTTTTATTAGAAGTCATTGTTTTTCGTCTTCTTTTTCACTAGTTTTTGACATGTTTGTAATTTATTGTTCCATGTCTTTTTTCCGGCTAATTCCCCCTCTCATCTATCCATTTTCATTTAAATAATATGTATCAATTTTTCTTCATTTCTTTGTTACTTTTGTTTGATTTTTTTGTTTTTGTTTATATTTCATTTTTTCTCATTCATTTTTTGTTAAATGAACTTTTTCATTTAAATAATATGGCATGATAATTTTTCAAATTGTTATACCCTTTTTATGGTCCAGTATGTACAAAAATGTTAAAATAGAAAGTTAGAAATAATAGATTTTGAAATTTGATTTATAAATAAAAGTGTTGTAACAATTTGAAGAAAAAGAATTGTCATGTCATGTGACCGGCAAGGAAGTGAGGAGTGAACATATTCTCTTTTAAGGTGTGAATAAAATTTGACTCCTCCTTTCAAAAAAAATTGACTCCATCAAATGAACTTTAACAACTAGCTATAAAGCGGGTTAGTAGCTATCACGCCTTATTCATTGTCGGTTGGGCTACAAGTCCTTTTTTTTACTCTAGGGAGGTATGGGGGAGAGGACTGAGGCCTGGAGTAATCAGGGTGCCTAACGGGTTTCGAACTCGAGACCTCCCACTAGGCACGGTAACATCACAACCAGTTGGGCTGGAATGTTTGGTTGTTGGACAACAAATCATATGGCCTTGCATGTTTGGCTATCGTCATTGATATTTTTTATATTTTAATACTTTGTACTCCCTCCGTCCAATATTTAACTCTGGTTTTGAACGGACACGGGTTTTAAGATAGTGGGATTTGTGTGGTGGAGAGTTATGCAGAGAGAGAAATGTGTAAGAATGGTTGTGAACCACATATTCTTTACCAAAAAGGGAAAAAGAAGATAAATTTGGGACGGACCGAAAAGGAAAGAATGAAGATAATTCCGGAACGGAGGGAGTATAAATTTTTTACCATAAAAAAATAAAACTATCAGATAGACCCTCATATTATATTCAAAATGGGATTAGACCCTTATACCAAAATATCACCGAAACACACCTCAACTTTTGTTAAAAACTCGAAATATATACACTTTTAGTGTGTCATCTACCGATCACTACAAAAAAAATCGCCTGTAGTGGATTAGTCGGTTGCATGCCATCGTGGTAGTCCTAAGAACATCTCTAATGTTATAGTGTGCACGGTGCACATGTGTCATGAAAGATAGCCACATAAATATTAGCAAATAAATTATCTTTCTCCTTATTTGAATGATTTTATACAATTTTGGTAAGTTTTCCCCTGCAATATCAACTGCAATGTCAACATCTAGACAGTCTCCTTGACATTGTGGAGAAAAACTTACCAAATCTGCATAAAAGCATTCAAATAAGGAGATAACGAATTTATTTACTAATATTTATGTGGCTATCGCTCATGCCACATGTGCACCGTACACGTTATACCATTGGAGATGCTCTAAGTGTACGTAATCGTCTTTCCACTTATAATTAGGATTTGATTTTATATTCTCGTTCCCCTTTTGGTTGCAGGTAACCCTAGCTTTTCCCGATCCCTACTAGCCCTTCGTTGAAAATGAAATACACGAGATACAAGCGTCCAGTGCAGCAAATCTGTAGAGCTAACGATGTTAGGTTATTTCATATTCACACCAATAAATAGACATAGGTCAACTCTACAGTTTGAACCAGCGATAAACATGTGGTTGGGAGGCACTGCTGTGTGTTGGCAGAGAAAGTGGGAGGAAGTTTAACGGTTGTCAAAATTGGATGGTACAAAATTAATATGAAATGATATAATAATAGTCATTAGAGTCCTTCTTGTTATACCCATTTTTGTGCACACATTTGTACCCATCCCCTTATTTTGTCTGTGTACACAGACGAACACAGACAAAATGTTGCATTCTTCTTAACGAATTGCATGTGTGCATAGGCAAAATAGAGGATGGCTACAAATGTGAGTACAAACAGCTTTTTTGCATTATAATTGTGCGATCTATGAATGTATATTCAAGTATTCAAACAACAATATGTATGCAGATTGCAATTAGGATTATTTGTTAAATATACCCCAACTATCATCAAATTTACAAATTTATCTCATATTTTCACTTTTATTAAAACAAAGACTCAAACTTCCACTGTTCTCTCAATTACACTTTCAATGGATGAATTAGTAAAACTTAAGAAGAAAATCATATTTATATTTCATATTTTTTCACTTCTTTCTAGTTTTAAGTTAACAAACTTGAATTGCTTGTATCTCATTGGTATTGATAAAAATATGTAATTTTGAAAAAAACAAAATACAAAGGCATAATTGTTGAAAAAGATGAAGTTTGGGTCTTTTGGGGGATAATTAAAATACCCCAAACTTTGAAGAGTTGTGAGATGAACACCCCAAACTTGCACAAGTAATTTAAATACCCCAAACTTTATATAAAAAATTATTTTAACACCATAGTTAAATATTATTTGTTTCAAAAATTTAAATATTTGGTGTTAACTATAGAATTTAAAATATTTTAGAAATCTTGAAGACACAATTAACATTTTAACTTCCATTGCGAAATAAATAGTGTTACCCTCAATCTATATAATTACAACATTTTTAATTTGCTATTTTAAATTATGCAATTAACTCCATAAATTTACATTTTTGAAAGAAATAATACATTAGAATGGTGCTAAAATAACTTTTTATATAAAGTTTGGATATTTAAATTACATATGCAAGTTTGTGGTGATTACTTCACACCCTTTCAAAGTTTGAGGTACTTTTATTATTTTACTTTTTTATATAAAAGTCAAAGAATAAGATAGATTTGTGAATTTGATGATATTTCATTAGTTTGGAATAAAATAAACTAATAATCCTTGCAATTATTAAATGTACGTGTCCTCGCAATTAGCTATCCCGTTTACTAAGAAATGACTTGTAAGGTGATCATTAATATTGTGATAAATTGAAATCACACCTCTGATTTTCATCGGAACTAAAAAGAAACAAAAGACAAATAAATGATGGTGATCGATTTAACCATTTTACTTAATTTTACTTGTTTTTTCAATGGCCAGTTTGATTGTAACTATTAACAAACCTTAGAAGTTAGAATCATCCATCCCATCCACACCAACATGTACTCGAGACAGCCATGTAGACCAAACTCTAATGAATTTTCTTTGACTTCATAAACTTTTGAGCTCTACAATTGCCTATTACAGCCAAAGAAATGTAATTAAATTGGGTTTATCTTTCTACCACTTCTTTGCTAATCACTTCCTGAATAACTTTTGTTTTATAGCCCTGTAATGCCAAATTCCAGATACAACTGGAACAAGAACAAGGAAAAAAAGATATAGTATTGGAATTTCACCAATATATGTACAGATTTCATGTACTAGATTGTTGGATGAAGTAATAAGCACCTCCATCAATCCTCAAGGGTTCAATCTTCCCATCCTCTAAATCCGGAAAGGCAACCCGAAGTTTTGGAAAGTCTTGATTTCCCCATGTACACTAGCAGTCACAATGACCAAGCCCCACGCAGGTTTTATTTGATTTAAGCCTCCGGTGATGTCAGTACTGGCATCCACCTTGGCACGCCTACTAGTTTTAGTAGCTGAGATTAATTTTTCCTCAGGCCATGTTGCTGACATTTTATCAAAGAAGTAGCTGCTCATGGCACTAGATATGGTTCCATTAGTATCTTCAGCAGGGGTTGTCGGATGATTTGTAGCTAGCACCTCATCGTGACTATTAATAGAACCGCCATTTTGTCCTGTGGAAGAGTTGATAGGAAATCGAGAAGTACCAGACATCCCTGGCCAAGGAATAGCAACTGAAACATCTTGACAATAGAAATTCTCATAAGCTTGTGTAACAGTAACCCCTCTGTTTCTTCCTGGTCGAGAAGGGCCTTCATGTTTCCACACATAAACAAATGAATCCTCGCTGGCACATACCACATACTTTCCGTCTGCCGTGAGAGATGCTGAAATTTGACTGTTTGTGTTGCGGAATCCTGTTACATATAAAAGAATCATGGACTATATGTGTAGGGTAGCTATATACTCCCTCTGCTTCTTATCATTTGCTCCCTATTTTTTCCCTGGAAGTGTTTTAATACTTGCCCCACTTCCCCAACTTTAAATCTTCAACAATATCTCCACATTAAAATACATCGTCATCCATCATCATTACCCTAGTGCCGCAAAGGCTCTCCACCTACGGTGGGGTAAAGGGGGTCGGATGTACGCAGCCTTACACAGATACTGTTTCCGGATGACCCAAAGTGAAAATCGCGTGGAAAATTGGATAGATTGATTGCTACTTCATTAACAAAGAAGCGCATACAGTTTAGTGAGTCATTTTGCTTTATTCCATCATATTCCCAAGCCAAAAAATAGTGGTCTTTGGCTCCATTGCAAATGATGGTTGTGAGGTTACCATGCCTAGTGGGAGGTCTCGATTTCGAAACCCGCTACGCACACAAGGGTTTGAAACTCAATGGAGTGAGTTTCAGCCCTGATTACTCCAGGCCCCCTCCCCCACACCCCCGGAGTAAAAAAAACATATGTACCCTTTTTCATCTCCTATCTTACTTTTATGCTTTCTCTACCTTTTCAATGGTTTTCTCCTACTATTCATTACCCCATAACTTTCGTCTTGAATCAAGTGAAAACCATACTGGACCAACTAAGTGAAAAATGGAGGTAGTATATTTTTTCAGTAAAACGGGCTCATACCCATTTTAAGCACATCTTCACCAGTTTGAAACCTTTAAATATTTCAGTAACTATTTAACAGGGTATTGTACCTTTGAACTTGTGAACCAGATCAACACCATCAATGACTCTAATTCGAGAATCTGAAGATGTCACTAGCACTTCCGTTGTACTTCCAGGGACAAACTGTTTGTCAAAACCATTGATTTGTTACAGACAATTCTCAAGAAAGATGAAGATAAATTGAATCTGACAGATGAAAGTTGTTAGTGGAATCAGCAATAAAGAGTCAATTTGAAGACCACACTGCAATATTACACACTTAATTTAAATAAAAAATGCATCTGATAATAATCATGATAAATATAAGTACTGGTTTTGTAGAGTTTCAGAATATCCTTTTGATAATTTGCGAACACACACACACGTATGGAGACAAGCCAAGAATTGAACTGCTGCACCACTTAAAATGATGATCACCTGAAAGCCAGTGATTTTCTTTTGATGGGGTTTCTTCTTCTTATTCTGCAGATTAATATGATCTTCTTGCTGCAATTTATTTTCTGAAACCACAAAACAACAAATAATATGAGCTGACTTTAGATAGTTATATTTAAAAGGGAGGAGAGTGGTGGGGGAAGATGAGTTTGAGAGGGATACAGACTCCATACCTGATGTGTTGTATAAATGGCAACTCCCCTTGTATGATCCAACCAGTGCGCGCTTAACCAATGAATATATACAAACAATCATTTTCGAAGCAAAAGAAATTTTCTATTGCATGCGATTATGTGAATATTATCCTCCAAAGCTAGAATCACAAATAGATTGTGGTTCTAAAAAGATTTCTCACCTGACCATCGGGTGTGTATGATGCAGCAGTGATCATTTCATGAAGATCATTCCAATCAACAACTTGCCGATCAGGAATACTCCATATGCGAACCTTAGCATCCAGTGATCCACTTATAAAGTATCTATCATCAACAGGATTAAACTGGATGCAGGTTACTGCATCAATTCAAATCCAGAAAATCAATCGACTGGTAAACATGAATAATTTTTCACTATCTCCAACCCTTACTGAACTTCACTTTACGGTTTACGAATTGTGTTTGACTGATCATTAAATTGAGTGTCCCCTAATAATAAATAAACTAGGGTTCTTATGAGAACCCCTCTTAGAATGACAACCAATTCTAAAATAAGAACTTCTACTCTCCACTTTTAATTATTATTAGGAAAAATGGATAAAAATAATCTCAACTATTGGTGATCCGCTTGAAATAATCCAAACTTTCTATTATCTCAAAATAATCCTAACTACTAAAAAAAATCTCAAAATGCTCCGCTGGCTCATACATATTATAAGCAATTTAAGGGTTATTTTAAGTCATTGGAGCATTTTGAGAAATTTTTTCAATAGTTGGGATTGTTTTGAGAAAATTGATACTTGGGATTATTTCAAGCATATCACTAATAGTTGGGATTATTCATGTCCATTTTTCGTTATTATTATAATCAGTGGCTAATTTTGACAAGGTGACATTTTTGTAATTATTTAAGAATAGTTTCAAAAAGCTACCATTTGAATTTAGGGTAATTACAAATATGACCACATGTGAATATCACTCATTGATTGAAACAGATGAAAGGTTGAGATTAAAATTTCTCATACTAAACTAATAAGAAATTCTCAATTCTCATTGTAAGAAACTAAGAGCCCGTTCGGTAATTGCCAAATTGGCTGTATTGGCTGATTCCGTTGAAACTTATGAAGTTCTGGCTGATGTGGATATATTGGTTGATTCCGCTGATTTGTGAAAAATAATAATTTAAAATACATTTTAGAAATAAAATAAAGAAAAAATTATATGAAATAATAGCTAAAATGGTCCTCTACAGTAACTTCAGTCAATACAGCCAGAAACGTAACTTCAACCTTAGTTTTTCTTATTATTACACAATTCAGCCCGTAAAATCAAAAGTTACGTGTTTGGTGAAAAAGTTGGCTTATAAGCCTGAAAAGCCAAAAATCGTGGCTACCAAACGGGCACTAAGAATGGTTCTCATAAGAACTCTCCCATATTCAAAGATTAAAACTATACGTTGACTGTGTATATTAGTACGCACGGAGTTTGTTAACAAACAGAAGGGGTAGTGTGTGCGTGTGTGTGTGCGTGTGTATTCCTCTACTGGTAACTGGTAAGCTACTTATTATATCATAAAACAAAACTGTTGAGCTAAAATATGCTCCAAGCCTCCAAAAATAATGTAGGGCTCCATATTCTAGTACTTACCATAATCACTGTGTGAGAAGATCTTTAAACATGAATTGCTAGACAAGTGCCAGAGCCGCACTGTTTTGTCCATTGAAGAAGAGAGCAAATGCTGAAAGCAGTGAAATAGAGGGGGGAGGGTCAAAACACTTGACAGAGCTTAAGAAATAGGAAAATGATGCAAAGTCGAAATGAATAATATATAAATAAATGAAGAAACTAGCTAACCTGAGATTTGGACCATGAAAGATCCAGAACATCATTCAGATGTCCCTGGAAGGACCGAGTAGGTTTCTCAGATAGTGCAAATACAGTTTCTGGCATCATAACATGGTCAAAACTTGCTGATTTACGACTTATGGATGGCCTTCCCCTTCTCTTCCGCTCGATGTGGCCATCAAAGTTGGGTGAAATAGAAGCCAACTCTGGGGACCCATTCGTCAATAAAAGAAGATTCATGTTAGGATCTTCTGGTTTATCTAACAAGTCACTCTTCCTCTCCGACTCTGTAACCTGCCAAACATGTATCACACAGTCCTCACCAGCACTTGCAAGATACTTCCCATCCAAACTGAACTTCATACTCCAGATGGACCCACTATGTGCCTGGATCTCCTGAATTTTGTAGAGAGCAGTTATGTCTTTGCATGACTTCCCATACTGCCGAACTTTAACTCTCTCCTGTCCATGAAAAGAAACATCCTGGCTATCATCTGTGGCTGAACTTGACCTTCTCCCACCCTTTTCAGATGAATGAGATGATGCATCCTTTTCATCACTACCAAGCCAATCCTTGTAACTAGCAACAGAGTTAGCCACATTCTTGATGTTTTTCAACCAGTTTCCAGTTCTCTTGAGTTTAAATCCACTCCCACTGCCCCCATTTGAGTTGGAATTCAAACCATCCTTACCACCTTCCCCTACATTCTGTCTTCTCATCAGTTCTTGAACAATGGGTGAAGTCCCGACACATATCTCAAATTCTTCCATTGTCAACTGCCGCCCTGTCCCTACTTCCTTGAGCTTGTTCCATGTCCCATCTTCACTCACTTCATTCACCACAAACGCCTTCCCATTATCAAGATCCTTTATTATGCACACAGGCGTTTCAAATGCATCTTCAACTAAAGTAGACCTCAGAGCCTTCCCATCCTCTACATTCTCAAAATTACTGATACTTAGACTATGGATTTGACTAGTATTTACAGCTACAGGGTCACCAACACTGGCTTCATCGGCCTCTGAGGACCATGGATGAATAGAACCAATGGTAGCTTTATCAGTACTTCTATGAATTACAGGCGAGGAAGTACTGGACCTATAATGGGAGGAATGACGATTGCATTCAGACTTCGACCGTACAACCCCAGGTACCCTACTGATTTTATTACTATTTCTGGAATTATTACTATCAGGAGTAAGACAATAATCACCCTTGTCAATTCCGCTCCTCAAATGATCTGTCCATTCCGATTCGCAAAAAGGGTCCTTTGTGTCACCCGGACTGCTGCCCTCAGCTGCCGAGAGTGAGGGTCTATGGCGCAGGATAGAAGGGTCACGGTTGAGACCTATTTTGCGGAGGAGGCTGAGGCGGCGTTCATCGACGGATGAAGGTTCAGAGATCCAGACATCATAGTTGTCAGAAGCACCAACGGGGCAGCAAGGAATAGAAAGCGCATTAGGGCAAGCATAATTGGGCGAACCTGAGTGAGAGAGAAAACGATCTTCCTCTTCATCGGAAGGCAAAGCAGAGGAAGAGCAAGAGGTGTTGGACGACGAGATTAGCCGGTCAAGGGAATCGTGAAAGCACTCGTCTTCCTCTTCTTCGTCACCAGCTGAGCTCATCATTCCAATGTTCCTTCCCCGCCGGGAAGAGGCATTTCCATCCAAATGCCCCACGTCTACAACATGAATCGATTCTACCACCGCAGGATCCTACTCCTTCTCCGGTCCCACTAGCAAAGATGCTTACGGCACAGTACGCCTGTTTTGACTGAAGTCAATGGTGCGGGAAAACGCGAAGATCGAGCAATATGGAAGACGGAGTTTTAGCTCACGGAAACCAGATCAGACGCTGAGGAGATAGCGAGAGAGAGAGAGACGGTTGCTGGAGCTCGGTACCGGCCACCGGAATATAGAGACGGGGGAAGCAAGCAGAGGTTTGAAGCGTTGTGGGGTGAACCGCTGAAGAGAGCTTTGGCTATTAGTATTTCTGTTCCCATTTGATTTGATTTAGGAAAGTAAAAAAAAAAGTAAAAAATAAAAATCGGACCGCCCTTCGCGAGATTACCTAATTGTTGGTTAATGGGATCATATACCTTCTTCCACGGATGAATGTATTGGTAATTGCTAAAGTAGAGAAATGAAAATGCTTATTTCATTGAGCAAGTTTAGTGTGCAATATAATTTCTTTCTTAGCGAGTAGTCTTTAAACTTGATAATTAATACTCGCTCTGTATCTAATTAGATTACTCGTTTGCTTTTCACGGAGTTTAAGACAATTATTGTAGACTTTATAAAAATTAAAAGTTTTTTGATATTGTAGCGGTACTGTAGTGGTACTGTAGCTGCTTTTTAAGTGGGATTCTAATCAAAAAAGGAAATGAGATAATTAATTTGATACACCAAAAAAGGAAAGTGTAACAAATAAATAGATACGGAAAGAATACTATTTCTATCGTGTCAAAATTGTCTCAATTTTCCATTTTGTAATGTCTCATATCAAAACCAATAGTGTTTATATGATTATAAATCAATTTTACTTCATTTTTATTTTATCGATTGCATATCAATTCTATAAACTCGCTTTTATTAATAAGTACACACATTCTCATGTACTAAATTTAGAGAATTGGGTAAAAAATAGTAACAAAATGATGAGCACAAGTACTACTATTTTTAGTATTTTCGGCACAAAACTTTGAAAACATTTTTACTTGTCAAACATATATATCAGCAGTATGCCCCAAAGTGATAAAATTCTAATGGTAAAAGTGTAAAACATGGATTATATCTAATGCACCATATAAATCATACTTAAATGGGAGTGTGTCTGATTTTCTTAATTGGTAAGTAACTTTGTGATTTGGTAGATGTATGGTATGTGGCTTTTAGAATGCATACATATAGCTTGATTTGATCTCATTAGCTTGGGTCTAGTCACGGACTCTAATGAGTCCAATTAAACACATCTTTAACTATATAATACTCCGTAATATATCTGTCTCACTAATATTGAGGCATTAGAAGATGGTGCACCGGTGTGGTTATTTAAAAAAAATCAGTTTATGTGATTGATATTAAATTAGTAAGGTAAAAATGATTAAGAATCACACAAATTTTACCAAACTTGGTATGCGATAATTTTTTACACAGATTAAAAAAAGAAAGATAAAACAATCATTTCTTAGACAGATGAAGATGGAGTATTAGATTGGGCTTTTCAGCCCCTCAATTTACCACTACGAATATATGAGATTTGTAAATGAAATACTTATATATAAGGAATATTAATTAATTAAAATAAGCGCCAAACATAATGTTCAGAACTAAATTAGGTTTATATATAATAAACAAATCAAACGATGTGAGATAAGTCCAAGGAGTAATTAATGTAAAGAAATGTTCTAAGCTAACTAGAAGAAGTCTTAGTTGGCCTAATTGGTATATTAAGGTTGGTAATCAATAAAGATGATCACAGTGGATGTACTATAGGAACATTTAATGATAGTGGTCCATGGACACCACACAATGCACCTTCACCTATTTAATGACGGTGCAAGACTGGCCTTTTGTTTATTTAGGATGATTTGACACCAAAGTCTTCCTATTTGGTACTGTACAAATTCGGTTAGGAGAAAGAGTGAAACAAAAAAAGGACTGCTTGTGGGGTGTGGATTTGATAGGAGAGATTTTTTGAAAACAAAAGAAAATGGAGAAAAAAATCAAGGGAGTGAGGTCAATGTTGCAAGGAAGGGATATGTGATAAAATATTTTTGGTTTTTTGTGGGTCCTCTCCCAAAATTAACCTATTCAAAAGCTAATAGAAAATTGAAAACAACATGACCTTTTTGGTCCATTCCTCCTTTTATGTTTGAGACTAGAGTGGTCACATGCTATCTTAAGAGAAAGTGTAGTATTAATATTGCTTTTAGAAAATATGAATGTTCTTAAGAGAAAGTGTGGTGTTAATAGGGGCTTTTAGAAATTATGAATGTTCTTTTAAGCAAATAAATATGACAAAATTTATAGGATAATTGTGTTTGAGTTGATCAAATGAAGAACTAGATAATTATATTTGTAAAATGCAACAAAGTGAATAATGTTAATGCTAATGTGCTTTGAATATGACGACGTTCAAATTACATTGTGTTTATTATCTCAAATTTCTTATATTTTTATAGGGTGTATTAAAAAACTTTTGTTGAGATGTTTGTCCAACGTAACAACTTTGAAGAGATCTAATCCACCATAAGCAAGTAACTCGCTTGAAATACGGGATACACTCAGTCTATATTCGGGATTAGGAGCCTTCTTATCAAATGTCAAGTGAAGTGTCTGCTTCGTGCGCTACTCTAGGAAGAATGATGCACATACTGTGTGACTTTGGGCGTTCGACGTGGTTCACGATGATGCACTGTGAAGAACTCATCACTAGGCAAGGACTTCATTTATGTTGTAATCTTGATGAAAAAAGCAATCGATGCAAAAATCTGATTAGATATCATTTGATTTTGACTGACGGAAAATGCAATCAATGCGAAAATCTGATTATATATCATTTGATTTTAACTGACGAAAAATGCAATCACTTCAATGCGAAGATCTGATTAGATGTCATTTGATTTTGACCGACATCCATACCAATGGTGAGAGCCTACATAGACCCTTCCCCTCCCATCTATGCCATGCCATTATAAACTCCCCTCATAGCTCCATTAAGGGTTGAGTAACATTTAATTAAAAACATCTACATGTTTTTCACTGTAGTAAGTGAAATGGTAAGTTTGGTTTTGATAGCTTCCCGGTAAACTACTAGAGGTATTATAGAGAGAGGGGAGAAGTACGAGTATAGAGAGAGAGAGAGAGAGAGAGTTTGATGTTAATGGGAGTCGAACTCTTTACTAGTAATTAATGAGGCGGCGCATTAAATGCATTATACGTGTTGGCTATTCAATGAGCGAGAGCCCTAGGACATAGCAGAATTTGACATGTGTTATTCTTTAACCGACTTCTGGTCATGTGTTATTTGTTGGCCGAGGTGATGACGTTGGCTGAGGTGCAGGTGTGCACCCCGGGTCTGGTTGTTGTTCTCGTTCCTGAATGACTGTCTGGGATCTTTGACCGAGGTGATAAGTCCAAGGTGATAGCCGAGGTGGATAATATATAACAATGGGTGTATTTCTTCATTTTGGACTGGACTTGGTTGAAAGACCCCAAGTGATGTGATGGGCTTGGGTCGTTGTGTGTCTAAGAGTATGTGGACCGTGGATCCGAGTCGGATTGTTCATTCGATATTACTGAACCGAACCGAACCGAAATTTCGGTAAACCAAAATTTCGGTTTACCATATTTGTGTACCGAATACCGAACCGAATTAAATCGGTTTGGTTCGGTAAAAACAAACAAAAATTCGGGTTGGTTATTGGTAAAACCGAAAAACCAAACACACATTCATCAATTTTAATCTTGCCATTTTACAAGGCTTACATAAATTCAATACGAAGTACTAATAAGATTAATAACAAATTAACAACAACAGCAAGTTTCATAAGTCATAATACTTCTTAGATAGTCAGAATATAGAAATTACAAACTCAACCACATTTAGAAAATACACAATACAAAGTCTGTCAATTATTATAAAAACAAGTCAACAACTTCAATCTCCATTTATTATTATTGAACCATCTGCAAAGTAGAAGGAAACCTGCCAAAACAATAAACATAAATCAATTATGTTGTATTCATATTTATTTTATTTGAAGAAATAAAATTGATATAAATACTCTTATCATGAAGAGTGTTGTGTCGTTCATGACATGCCAAGAACATCAACATCAGACCCGGAGTTTATTATTACCAACTCTACAACAAACAATTGATATGTAATTGTAAAAAAATTAAAATAAAGTCATGTCATAGTGTAATACTACATGAAATTTGAACAAAATGATAAAAAATACCTTTGTCAAGTTTCTGACAAAATTCATCTGCCTCTTCCATTGATGTGTCTGGAGTGTGGCGAAGCCAATCTTGGCCGCAAATCAAAGCTTGTGCCATCTTGGGAGTCAATGAAGCTCTAAAATCGTCAATTATATGGCCTCCGGTGCTGAATACAGATTCTGAAGCGACAGTGGTTATCGGCATCCCCAACACATCTCGAGCCAACATAGACAAAGTAGGAAACCTGGGACTATTCAATTTCCACCAATCAAGAATGTTAAAGTGTGGATGATCTTTGGTAATAGGCTCCTGCACATACAAGTCAAGCTCAGATTGGTCGCTCGCTCCAATTTCAGACAACATTTGCATATACCTCTTCTTGTTATGCCTAATATTCCTTCTAGCATCATCATCATCATTTCCAGAATCTGTGGTTGAACTCCTGATCCTATTGAAGAAGTAGTCAATGTACAAGAAGAATACAAAGTCTTATATGCACTGAAAATGTCAGACATGGATTCCTTCACCAAAGCGGTCATTTTCAATCCTTCTTTTTCCCCATGCATGTTTTTTAAAACATATTGCAAGTGACTCATTTTGTGACGGGGATCAAGAACATCAGTAATGTACAACAACATATTCATTTTTTCCTTATTTCCCCAATATTTGTCAAACTTCAATTTCATGTTCTTAGACATATCGGCTAAAGCTTCATCTCCCCTACTAAACCACTCTTTTAAAAGCTCATCCATATCGCTCAGTTCATCTAAAAATGTGTTGGATGTCACATATGAAGAACCATAGTTTCGTTTGGTGAGGTCAAAAAAGTTACGCAAAACTTTTACAAATCTTTCAACAACAACCCAATCATGAGATGTTGGAAAACTAATAAGTCCATGAGCACCACCTGGCAAAAAATCTGCACGCAAACCGGCATCACATATCTTATACCTGTCAAATACACCTTTGAAAATCGTGGCAGTTTCAAGCATGGAGTAAACAGAGTTCCACCTAGTTGGGACGTCTAGGCACAATGACTTTTTGCTTTGAATTTTCTCCTGGACAGCAAAGTCATCAAACTTCTTTTGCTTGCAAGGTGACTGTCGGACATATCTCACAATAGTACGCACTCTCTCGATCGATTCATTCAATTCTTTCAGTCCATCTTTCACAACAAGGTTAACAATATGAGCAACACATGTAACATGCAAATATTTACCATCTAATATCGCAGTACCCAAATCAATCAATCTTCTCTTCAAATAAGCTACTGTAGTGTCATTCGAAGAAGTGTTATCAATAGTATTCGTAATATTCTTGTTGATGGATAGTGTACCCGGGGGTAGCTTATCCGAGGGGTTATTGAGGAGAATAACTAGAGAGAAGTCAGAGCAAGTAAGTAAGAGAGAGAGTGTATATCGGTTCGTCGATCGTTTCTAGTAATAATTAACATATGAAACAAAACTAGTAGATCCTTTAAGTAATGTTCAAAATATTAATATGAAATATGAATAGTGATTAATTTATATTCAAGGAAGAATATTATTAAAGGAGATGAATCCTACTATAATTAATATCAAGATGTTAACTAATTGTCATCTTAGCAACACTCCCCAATATTAATATAGAGGAAGAAAACTACTCTAACTAATGTCAAGATGTTAACTAATTGTCATCTTAGCAACACTCCCCAACATTAATATAGAGGAAGAAAATACTACTCTAACTAATGTCAAGATGTTAACTAATTGTCATCTTAGCAACACTCCCCAACATTAATATAGAGATAGTATTAAGAAAAGAACTAATAATTAATATTCAAGGGAAGAAATTAAGAAAATAACTCACAACTTTAATAATCAACAAACTTCAAGAGCAACACCAAGAGTTGGAAGTTTAGCTCCTCATTTGGAGACTAAACATAGCTAGAAAATTATAAAGAAATGCTATTTTAAACTGAGCTTAAGAGTATGGAAGAAGGGATGATTTTTAGAGAAGAAAAAGTGTGCTATTTATAGGTATTTTTCAACACCTTTGGCCGGGTACCCGACCGGGTCAAGTGCCTACCCGACCGGGTACCGGTCAAAATCGAATCGATTTGCCATATTCTCTTGTTCTCTGCACGTTCTTTGGTCCGGGTCAAGTCTGACCCGACTGGGTGGCTTAGTTGACCCGACCGGGTCTGGTCAAAATAAGATATTTTCCACGTTCTGGTGATCTTCGGCACGTTCTTGTGTTCCGGATCAAGTCTGACCCGACGGGGTGACTTAGTGGACCCGACCGGGTCCAGCTCTTTCCTCAAAGGTTCGGTTTTCATATCAGACCCGACCGGGTTCAGGGTCTGACTCGGCCGGGTTTTGTGCTCCTGGCATTATTGTCTTCAGTTTTTTCTCCTTTTCCTTGCTAAAAACTCTACCACTATTCTACAAGTATAAATGGAAGGTAAAAACAATTACAAACAAAATAAAACAAATGCTTACAAACTAACTAATAACAATAGAAAATCCAAACAAAATCAATATAAAAACATACATTTATGCACTATAAACTAGTGCATATCAACGACCTACGAGCACATTTAAACATTTGCACAGAAAGGAACTCAAGTACTCTGATCAACATGCATGTTAATAGGATAGTCAATATCCTTTTCTGGACTCGCTTTACCCATGCAAAACTCACTCCGAGTTCAACATTTTTACACTTTAACCGACTATCTCACACACCACCTTTTTACTTATACTCACACATTATGTTCATACCTTTTTTGTTGCACATTTTAACTATTGACGCATTACTAATTTCGTAAGCTTTTGCACTTTTCGACTACTATATAGCAATATTTCGCTTACCATCTGTTGTCCAGATGTCCTCGTCCATCACTGTATTCATCATTCTTCTCACTTTCAACTTGCCTGCAACTTCGTCCTCTTCTTTTAGTAAACTTCTTCTCCCTCTTCAATTCACCTCCCACAGAAAACTCTACCAAATTACTCATCGTTAATAAAAAAAATTGAAAGTTTTCCTAAAAATGGAAATGGAAGAGTTATTAATATTGTGTGCGTCGCGCAACGCAATTAACTGTAATCTGTGAATGTTTAATTACTAAACAACCCTTACTTACATTCACACGTGTATCACCCATGGTTTAATAATATATCCGATGCTTGTGTCTGCACTTTATTAAGGTGGAACTCAAAATCGTGGCCATCAATTTCTTCTTACAAACGGGTGATATATATTCTTACTTTGCATGTGAGAGCCTCTTTGTATTAGAACCACTCGCATATATATATATATATATATATATATATATATATATATATATATATATATATATATATATATATATTACTCCGTATATGATATATTATACTTCCTCCGTCCCTTAAAACTTTGTCATCTTTCTTTTTTGGGACGTCCCAAAAAACTTTGCCATTTTCCCTTTTAATCATTTATTTTGTGGTTTCTGTTATTTCTCTCTTCTGCAAAAACCTCAACCACACAATTTTTACTTTATTATTCTCCGTGCCAGTCAACTTTAGTAAAATTTTAAGGAACGGAAATAGTATATACTAATATATACTTCATCTGTTCCTAAATAAACTTCCAACTTTCCTTTTTCGTCCGTTCCAATTAAAACTTTCACTTTCCCTTTTTGGTAAAGAATTTGTGTTTCACAACATTTCTTACATATTTCTCTCCTATGCACAACTCTCCAACACACAATATATTTTAAATTTTGTGTCAAACCCATTTGGAAGTTAAAACGGGAAAGGAGGTAGTATTATATATTAATTTATATTGAGCCGCTCCCTCATTTGCACCCCTACCCGTTCCTTCAGACAGATCAGTATGAAATTTGCAAAATCGCTGAGAGATAGACGAAGCAGACATGGAAGCCTCGAATACCAAGGGAGCCCACAGATGGAAGAAGAAAACTTCTCTTCACACTCCAAGATCTGCACTTCTCACCGTTATAGCAACCTCCTCTATCCTCTTCCTCTTCTTCTACTTCAGACGTTTTTTCGTTATTCCGTCTGAACTTCCACTTTCCAGAATTTATCCGGCATTCAGTACCCTACGATGCGGCTCCTCCTCCAAGGAGAAGTTTCTCTGGTACGCTCCCCACAGTGGGTTCAGCAACCAGCTTGCCGAGTTCAAGAACGCCCTTCTAATGGCTTCGATTTTAAATCGAACCCTGGTTGTCCCTCCCATTCTCGATCATCACGCCGTTGCTCTGGGAAGCTGCCCCAAATTCAGGGTTCTAAGCCCCCCTGACTTGAGATTCGCTGTTTGGAATCATAGTGTGGAGCTCTTACGTAATTGCAGGCAAGTCAGTTTATTAAGGCACGACAGAGAAAACTTATATATGCCCATTATACCTATTTTACTTATATTGAAGTTACGTCATGCCATACTTTTGTTGATTTCAAGGGTGTCTATTATGATTTGTTATGCTCTATAAGATTCTATACAAAGACGATTTTCTGTTCAGAGATTTAGACTGATTTGTTACATGTAACGGTTGGAATGAGCTAAACCTGTTTATAATGAAAGCTTAGATAAGGCTCTCTGTTTATTATATTGCTCATTTTCTTGTTGCAGATATGTTTCTATGGCCGATATTGTTGACATTTCAGTTACTGTGTCTGGTTCAGCATTAAGTGTTGTGGATTTTAGAGATTTTGTGCATGAATGGTGTGGTGTGAAACCGGATCACTTATGCTCAAGAGACCAAAAGGCCCAACCTTCATTGCTACAAAGACTAAATGAATGTGGGTCTTTTCTATCTGGAAAATACGGCAATTTAGATAGTTGTTTATATGCTGTAGATGAGGATTGCCGGACAGCGGTCTGGACATACCAAAAAGACAGTGAAGAAGGTAGCTTAGACTCATTTCAACCAGATGAGAAACTCAAGAAGAAAAAAGAAATTGCCTTTGTTAGGAGAAGGAGAGATGTATATAAGACCCTAGGACCTGGCTCTTTTCCTGGATCATCCAAAATTCTTGCATTTGGAAGCCTTTTTACTTCCCCTTATAAGGGTTCAGAGTCTCACATCGATATCCATGAAGCTCCTAATGATAAAAGGATAGATTCCTTCGTCAAGAAGATCAAATACCTTCCCTTTGTTCCAGAAATTCATCGTGCTGGGAAGACATTTGTTGATAATAGAATTAAGGCTCCTTTTCTTTGTGCTCAGCTTAGGCTACTAGACGGGCAATTCAAGAACCACTGGAGAGCTACTTTCCAAGAGTTGAAGCATAGGTTAGAATCTTTGAAACAAACTGGACCTAACTCTGTTCATGTGTTTCTGATGACTGACCTTCCCATGTCTAATTGGACTGGGAGCTATTTGGGTGATATAGCAAAAGATTCAAGGATTAAACTGTTTGTCCTTGAAAAAAATGACAACCTGGTCACAAAAACTGCTGGGAGTATCCTGAATGCGAACCACGGTATGATGTTTAGGTCCTTTTCAAAGCATTCTATCAATGTTCAGGAGAATATGAAGAGTCAATCATTGCCTGACGTGCTATTATACATAGAGGAAACTATATGTAGCTGTGCTTCTCTTGGTTTTGTGGGAACTACTGGCTCAACTATTGCAGAGAGCATAGAACTGATGCGGAAGTTTGATATATGTAAAAGCTGAAACCTTTTTAAGGATTCTTATTACTTTTGGAGCTCTTTGGCCTGAGGTTGCCAAATGATATAGTTAGGAGAGCGTTAAGTCTACAGAAAGTGTAATCTCATGCCGGAAACCAAGATGGTTATGGATGTTTTGTAGCTGTGGATATGGAGAAAATGCTGGAACTTCATCCAGCACTCTTTGGGCACTGTTTTTTTCTAAAGCTGGCTGGATAATCAAATCTGGAAAAGTCGCAATAGAAACTCAATTAATCAAGATTCAATACCTCAATAAGAAATGATTTTTTTGTTTTCTCTGCCAGTGAAGAAATTTGAGAAATTTTTTTCTACTGCAGAAAGCCTTGTAGCAACATGACTGGTTACTCTGTTGGCCCAACCGACTAAAACTCTCTTGTTCTTAATTCTTATTGACTTGTACTTTTTTCTGTTTAAATTTTTCGATTGACCAAAACTGCTAGGAGATGTTGCACGTGCATATATAAGGAGCCAGGACCCCACTATCTAGGTTTGCGGTAATTGTTGTTTTTGCACAGTTGATTTTGGATTGCAGCATTTCTTCCCCCACTAGTCGTCCTAAAATTAGGTATATCCTGGGCTTGTATGCCTCGGGGATTTCAGAGCGAAGGGAAGGGGAGGATTGTTCTTTATTTTTTTAAATTTTTCTTCATTTGCTAGTTTTAAAATAGAAATAAGCGTTTGATTAGTTAGATCATGTGTTTGTCTATAGACTATGGTTTTTTACAACCAGCTAAATGTGGACTTCAATTTTAAAAATTACATATCAATCCTCCGCTTACATCCTCTCCAAAATCCTCGAACCAAACAAACCATTAGTTTTCCGTCCTCACTTTTGCTTTATTGAAAATTCAAAGCCCCACTTTTCAACTTTGCTAGGTATCTTGTCGCATCTTGGACAGAGAATCAACTCCACCGCTCTAACTAACTGTATTTTCTGGTATGCTCTCAATTTCTTTCATTTTGTATGGAAATGGATGAAGTGCTTAGGTGTTATTATTTTCATTTGTACCGAGTTTATTTTACTTTGAGTTTTTGGAAATGTTTCTATGAACTCTTTTCCTTACAAACTATTTACTTGTTTTCTCATTTCATGTTGCTCAGGTTGATTACCTCAATCCAGAAGGCCAAAACACAAAACTTGGGGTTCTTTCTATGGATTAGATAGTGCAAATAATAAAAAAGAGTCGAAATGGAAGAGCTCGAAGCCTCTGTATTCGGATTGGGATAATTAACCTTGCACTTACAACTCACTTAGATAGCTCTTTATTCACACTTTGACTATATCCACTAACTGATGGACTTGCTACAATGAAAGAAGTATGAAATGCAAGAACCAACCCCTCAAAAGGAGGTTATGAGGGAGTATTTACAGTGGTATGAAGTGGCTGAGGGGTCAGCGTGACAGCTCTCCATTTTCTTGGTAGATATCAATGACATCTAGCCAAATTTATGCATAAAATCCTCTTCCTGCCAAAACTGGATTTCCTGCCAAATAAATGTTGGCCAAGCGTTGTGTTCTTCGTGGTGCAGAGTCTTAGAGAAGGGTATCATGCCTATCTGTCCAATGCGGGGAGTCGGTCTTCCTACTAATCGTCCCAAATGACCTGTTGAGCAGGCATTTGGTTACTCCACTCGGCATTGTTTGAGTTGACCATTTGTCCCGAGTTGTGTGTACCGTTCAATCATATGTATTGGGCCATCCATTAGGGTCACGTCGGAAACCTGAGTTGGGACCGAGCGTAACCCTTGGTTACTGGTCTTTGTGGAATTGGGCTTTCCTGGGTGTTGTTGGGCTAATATCCTCATACACGTCTTTTTAAATTAGACAAGTGTTGCAACATATGCCTGTCAAGTTTCCTCTTTTTTTCATAAGGCCTAATCGTTTTTACGTCTAAATTTTTAGGAGGTGTTTTGATTTACCATCATCTCTTTGCCTCTTTGGTTTTCAAATTTGAATAGTATCACTATAAATTTGTCCCCTTTCAAAATATTGGCTAATTTTCGTTATCTTGTCTTATTAGTTTGTTTCTCTAAATGTTTCCTCTCCTATTGTTTTTTCAAAGGTTGTACGTCAAAACAAATTTGGAAGTGTTTCAGTTTTCCATCTTTACTTTCTTCTTTTGAAAGTTATTTGTATTTTGGTTCTAAAAGTACACTCATATAACCTAAATGTTTATTTATTACTCCGTATTACTGATGATTCTTTCCTTGGTAGGGCTTTTATTCAACTTCTCTTTCAAGTTTTCCCACTCTTCTGGTTATTTCTTGCGTAGTGGTGGTTTATAGTTTAGTTTCAAAGATATCTTTTTGGTTTTGCTGTTTATCCTTAAAAAGATAATAAGACATGTATTGCTTCAAAGGTGTTCAAAACTGTAAAAAGGGTAACACATTTTTTGCTTCAACTTTTGTCGTTGCTTCAAACTTCTTACTCGTCTTTTAAACTAATGCTTATCAGGCTATGGAAACAACAAAAACATAGGAAAACATGCAGTATCATTTACAAAGATTCTACTTCCAAACAGACAGTCAGACAGTGTAATGGAAATGATGGAAATTGGTGTGACCGTAAACAAAAACAAAAGTACAAAACCAGTCTGAGTGTGAAAGCCGCCCTCTCATCAGTGTAATAATAAAATAAAAGCTTGCCCCAACTTTTATTTTGTGATTATAGCTCAGTCTAACATTTTTAGTAACCGGTAACCTCATTCTGGAACGTCATAAATGGAGTGCATCTTTTATACTCTGTATAAAGATAAAAGCTCATTTGTACGGCCCGAGACCGACACCAATCTCTCCGCCATATGGTCCAACACTATGTCTGGCTTTGGAGTAGGAAACATAGTAGAACTCGGAGACTATGGCAGTGAAGAACACAAAGGCTGCTCCGGCTCCAAACACCCCCTTCCTCACAGTCTCACAGGACAGCGGCTGATCGTTGATTAGGTACGATGATCTGTACTTGGTGTGATATGCATTCCTCACTGAACCAGCCAGCAAACATACCTCCGCAATGAAGAACATCACCCTAAATTTGTTTATAAGACCATATAAATGCAACATATAATGCGGATGTGAACGTTATGTGAACGTTTTTATATGCATACATACATACCAGCAGATAATGAAGAGGAGAACAGCACATGCCCTTGAACCTCCAGGGTTCAAAGCCCTTCCAAAGCAGAAGCACCTAGTGGTTATCATTATAAGAGCTTGGCTTGCCATTAGGAACAAGAAAGCACCGACACCGAAACCAGTTGAAATGTCTGAGTCATACACACAGTAGCTGTAGGTTTTTTCCTCATCCATTTCAATTGTAGCCTACAAATAAACTCAATTTCTCTTAATCCATTAACTGTGTTGACATTATCAAATCAAACTTGATTTTGTCCTTGGGATATTAATCAACTTCTAACCCCAGCCACAAACCACACTTGATTTTGTCCTTGGGATATTAATCAAATCAAGTGTAGTTCGAAAATAAAAGTTGATTGATTTAGAAATGGCCAAAACATATGAAACTTATCTTGGTCTTGTTTGACCAATATAAAATTCTTAAATTATTCAATACAATTACCTACCACAATAGAGGCCTTTTAATGGGCAAATGGAGTAGTTATTCCCTTTGCTATCCCACTAATATCATTTTAACCACCACTAATCATTCAATTCATTATAAAATTTTGGTTAGATGGGTGCTAATTAAGAAATATGGGTAGGAAAAACTTAATTCAAACCCAAAACCGCCGGCCTAAAAGAGGTCATCTGTCCGGGTTTTTCTCTTTTGGCGGCTTGATTAAGAATAAATCGAACCCGAAAATTCAAGCTCACCAGTAGTTAGTAAAAATATATAACCCGGACCGGACCAGACCGGTCAAAATCCGAAATGATTACCTTTAATACAAAACCAATATAATACATCAACATTAAATATTCATATGCATTTTAAATGCAACCTTAATATAAAGATAAATTCCATTTTTTGGACTTGTTTGTGATTTTGGGAACTATTATTAGTGTTATTTTATGTGATTTGTATTTCCGACTAATTTTGTTTGAAAACATGTTTTAAAATACAAATGAACGGGGTAGGGTGATAGATGATTTCTCGTCCAAGCTTTAATTGGTCCTAGGTACCTGAATCAAACTCATACTCAGATCAAATATATCAGGACTTGTCCAAGTCCCTGATTTTCATAAATCGATATATTACGAGTCATTTTCATATTTAACAAAAATCCAACTCTTTTTCGAGTTTTGCAAAAACTCAACCCGCACAGGGCCATTCCCACCCCAATAAGAATCTTATAACGGGGTAGAGAAAGTAATAATAAAGTAGAATTGAAGTTTTGAAATACAAATTGATATCAAATCAAATGGGAGTAACGAAAGGTGGAGTAATGCGTGAAATTCAATTCTTTGAATCTTTATAGAAAGAAGTGTCATATGAATGCGACATTTGGTGACTCAAACAAAGCCGTAATTCCAATCAAAATTTGAATTTTAAAGCAATTCTGATTTCTGAACATCCAAGTTATGTATATTAGGTCCGGCCATTGATATGGTTTTGGGAGGGAATGCTTACCGTACTTCTTCTCCGCTCAGCTCCAATAGCTAAACCGAAAGCAATAAGATCAAACGCAAAGATACAGACCATTACCAACTTGGAAGCCATTGTTGGAGTAATTTGATGGAAGCTTCAGTTAATTAGTGCCAGATCTCACCAGAACACCGCTCGATTTCTCAAGACTTGTCGTGCCAGTATACATGTTCTATGTATATATGTATCTAGCTACATTACATGGAATGGATTGCGTGACTGAGAAGAGAGTGATAAATAAAGATAGAATTCTAAATGCCACCAAATATTGTGACATCTCAACCCAAAACACTTCTGCCGTGGACTCGACTCCACATTCTTGCTTTCCGTAACCAATAAGTTTATGTCCGAAGACGTTTTTAATCAAAGTTTATTTTGTCTAATTTCAGTTTACTTTGATTTAATCAATACTTTATTTTGTGTCATATATACTCCCTCCGGTCCTAAATATACTTGATAACCGCTTTCGCGACGTTGTAGTAAAACGGAGTCTAACCTTTCGGTTTTTCCCCGAGTATCATGTCTCTTGAGGAATGACGGAGGAGTTTCTTGATTTCAAGCTCAGTCACAAGTTATCGCAAATTATTGGAAGCTTTCCAAATTAAAACTTTTGATTAATTTTCTAAACTAGTTTTTGAAAAATAAAGTAATTAAATTATGCAAATACTAATGCTGGCTCAAAAATAAACTAAATGAAAAATATTAAACTCTAAATGGATTGATCAAAGAAGGGCAATGAATTGAATAATTAGAAATATATATATTCTTGGACCTAGTAATTAGGGGAATTAAAACAACAAGTGGACTAATAATTTCTTTTCTCATAGACAAGAATAGAAATTACTTTCATTAATTTATCCTATTTGTAGGTTTCATCAATGTATTCAAAAATGGTTGGCTTGAATTAAATTCTAATCTCATAGACAAGACAGAAATAATTCTCCAATATTTTGTTCAATAAAAATAGCCAAATTCATTAACTAATTAAACTCATTAATTAAGCAATTTGAATTTAATTCTCATAGACAAGATGTAAATCCATTTCATTAAAATTTCCTATTTTTAGGCCTTATTAACGTGCTTAAATATGGTTGACTCAAATTATTTTCTAATCCCATAGACAAGTTAGAAATAATTTTCCAAAAGTTAATTAATGAAAATGACTAACAATTATTAATTACTAATTCATCAATTTGAATAACTAGCCCAATTAATTAATTTTAACCCCTAATTTTCGGCTAACAAGTCAATTCATATTCTTTTACTCAATTCATGCCCAAAACAATTTTAGCTACTAAACATTATTTTTGCATTCAACAATATGGTAAATAAATTAACCATTAACAAGGAATTAAACATGTATAATAGAAAAAATTAATCAAAAATAAGATCTTGTCAAAATAAACTTTCTGGAACTACAATATGACTTTTTGGAATTTTTCACGAATTTTTAAACCTAAAATCCAATTTTAACCCTAATTGATAATTTTCCCACTTTTAACTATAAAATACAAAAGGCAATTAAAAATAGGATAAATTCGTTCTAAATTTTCTATTGACTACTGGCGGTGATATTACAGTGAAATAAACTGGAATTAGGGCCGAAACTATATTTTTTACTCTTTTTAAGTAATTAATTTAATTTATGCAATAATAACAACTAATTACTGAAATTAATTACAAATTACTTCTGCTTCGGGAAAATTAACTTTCTTCAGATAAATAACAACCTTGAGGCTAGTAAACAACTATATAATTAATTGGAATGAATTCAACATCAACAACTATTTTATTTAATTTTTGGAAGAAAATGCGAAATACTTGATAAATATTCTGGAAAAATTCAAAGAATAGATCGAGAAAACAAAGCACAGATTCAGATTCTACTCGTTGAGAAGATGAAAATACATATAAAGAACTTACAAATTGGAGCTAAAATGAAAAAGATATGAAAGATTGAAGTTGAAGGTGCAACAATGGTGGAAATCCGAGCTTTGAAGAGGAAGAAGAAGACCTTTTTGAACTAGTTACGGGCTAAGAATGGTGTGTTTGAGTTCAGCAAAAATCAGGCTATTTATAGCAAGAGAAATCTCGTAGGCGGCCAAACATGCGGCCGCCTGCCACCTTGCTCCGGCCGCCTTCCGTCCCATCACCGGCAGTCGAACGTGCCGCACGTCACTTCGCCGTAGGCGGCCACGGAAGGCGACCGCTTGCCGTTTCTGTCTGGCCGCCTGCTGTCTTTTCGCACCGACGGTCGTTGGCTTTGTCGTCTTTTCCCGTAGGCGGCCGCGAAGGCCTCCATTTTTTGCCGCCTATTTGGCCGCCTTCCGTCGAAGCCTTCAGTCTTCTTCCCGCTTCGAGTCAAAGCCTATTTTTTTGATTTTTCCGTAGGCGGCCGCGAAGGCCTCCATTTTTGGCCGCCTACTTGGCCGCCTATGAGGTTGTTTGACCGTCTTGTTCTGTATTTTGTGCTCTTTAACTTTCCCTTCTGGACCACTTTGAAATTCTGCTTCCTTCTTTCGGTATGATATCATTTTTCACTCAAATTGACTCATTGTGTGCTTAATTGAACCGGAATTTCGTCAAAGATATCATGGACGTGGTTTTTACCTGATTTCACCAAACTTGAACCAAAATATATAAAACATGCCTTTTTTCTGTTTTTTTAATCCAAAATCGCTTAACTTTGATAAGAAAAATAAGTACAAAAATGGACTTATCAATACTTCACACTTTCCTTTTTGGGTAGGTCCAAAATAAAATTCACACTTCTTCTCGCTTACTTTTTTGGCAAATTATCTACATCAAAACAGTGCAAAACAGTGTCAAACAGTGCCAAACAGTGTACTCTACAGTAAAGTCAAATTTGTTTCCTTAATTTGTGTGAAGTCAAAGTGTGAAGTTTAGTTAGGACCGGAGGGAGTATGTATATTCTAAGTATACTCTACAATTATCAAAGTCTGGTTTGATCTCGTTTGATTTAATTTGGTCTTTGATATGATCTAATTTGGTTTATTTATTGTTTTGTTTTTATTTTTGCCATTTAAGTAGGGTGAGATGATGTCTTAAAAATATTATTATCCCTAATATACATAAAGTTTTCAAACACAATACTCGACACCCGTGGCGGAACTAGAGAAAAAAATAAGCAGGGGCACTAAATCATCACATTAATAATAAAACTGTATTAACAAATTACACTAATAAAACATATCAAATTTAATCAAAATGGTTAACGTAATGGTGCTAAATCCAACCTACGGGTGCTCATGTTTTGAAAATGTTGGATAATAACCTCATTATCGATGCGTCTAAACACATCTCTTTCTACGTAGCAGACTACACAATCAGAAACATTTGAAGAACTAGCATCCAAACTTATTGGTGTTTTTTTCGGGAGAAATACTTCTCAATTGACATCCCCTAATGACAAATATCGAAACAAAAAAAAATTAATTCAAGTCGAACTATTAATCTAATATAAATACTTCATTAATACAAACAATACATTAACACAAAAAATTACAATAACACATAATCGTTATATTTAATTCAATCTATTTTACACAATTACACTACATATTTTTCAAATCATAACTATGAATTTAAAAAAATCAATAGTGAAATACCAAATTTTATTTAATTTAAAAGTGAAAAAATAGGAAGTCGGAACATACCAAATCGTGAAATCGGCAACTGGTGGCTGGACGGCTAGTGGAGTGGAGACTGGCAGCGGCGGCGGCGTGTCGCCTGTGACCGGTGGGGCCAGCAGTGGGCCGGTGGCTGGAGATAGGCCTATCAAAGGGTTGGGTCCGGGTCGGAACGTAGTGTTCCAGACCCGGACCCGCTAAGTTAATAATGGACCCGGATCCGAACCGTTTACCCAGCAGGTCTGAAAAAATGGACCCGGACCCAGACCCAACGGGTCTCGGAATCGGGTCGGGTAGACCCGCCCGCCAAGTATGATACACACACCACTATAAACTTTGTGAAAATTGCAAGACATGTATGTGAAATATAAAGCAAAGTGTACAAATTTAAAAACAAAATATATCTTCACTTTTCAAAACAAAATCAAGGTCTCTCATAGAAAATTAGTACTTTTATCTAATAAAGTATCAGTTCTTGTACAGGCATATAGCTCCACACTTTGCGTCGCTTTCTCTCACACAAAAAGCTCGTAGAATAAACTATAAATTAGGTCTCTTGGACTACTGAGTATAAAATCATATGTAGTAGTACATATGATAATGATATAACAATATTAATAATAATAGTAATAAATATTGTGCTTTTCCTACCAAGCCCAATACACACTTTATCGGTATGTATTTACGGCCAAAATGGGCATTAGTTTTAGGGTATCTTACTATCTTGATTAGTATCACTTACTAGTATATACTCCGTAGTATTTATGTATTAATGTGTATATTTTTATTGAATAATCACAAATTCACAACTAATAACTTTATGCATTATTATGTATATATGTATATTAGTTTCTATTTTATTTAAAGTGTTATAACTAATCACTTTATGTATTAGTGTATGTGTATACAAATAAGAAATTTTAAACGGGTCCGGGTCCTTAACGGGTCGGAATCATATGTACCATACCCGACCCGTTTATTTAAAATACTAACGGGTCCGAATCCGGGTCGGGTATGGTACATATGATTCCGACCCGTTAAGGACCCGGACCCGTTAAAAACAATCGGGTCCGGGTCTAGACCCGGCCCATTGACAGGCCTAGCTAGAGAGTTGGTCTGCTTGCGCGGAGTTGCACCTTGGCCTTGCTTCACTTCTTCGGTTCTTCGCTGCAGTGGATTACGGGAATTGGGAAAGGGTTTTGGTTTGGACTTAGAGCTGCAGGCGGCTGGGTTGTGCCAAGCCTGATTGGCCCTATTTTTTTTGCCCCAACCCGAAACAAAACGACGTCGTTTTGTTTAATGAAAAAAAAAACCTTCGTCTTCCTCAACCCCTGCGACGAACGACTCCATCTTCCTCAACCCATGCTCGCCGGAATACTTCAACGTAGGGTTGGACTCGGACCGGGTCGGGCCCGGGCGGGCCGGCGGTTCAGGAATGGTGGACCCGAGACCGGCCCGGGTAGCCACCGGGTCCGGGCCGGGCCTCCGATTTGTTTTTTTTTTCTTTCCTACCCCC